GTTATTATCCAACATACTTTTGTACATTAAGAAACTCCATTCCACGTCGCGGGACGTTACAGAACAATATTTAAGTAAATAAGCTTCTCCAAAAAGAAGTCGTTTTTATGTGTTTTAAAACTCACTCTTTTATCTCCGGACTTTCGGCTTTTTAATGTTTCACTTCGACACAAGAATATAAACAGTGGAAAAATGGAACAGTTTTAAAAACTATTCATCTATTTGTTCTGTCTTGCAGCGAGAAAGGAATATAGCATATTGTACCCACATTTCATAGTAAAAATATGGATCCGGTTTAAAATTTTACCTACCTACTTAATTACGTTAACAAACTAAAATTTTCATTGAAGAGACAGGCTGTTCTAGGAAACTTTATTACAAATCTCTTCATTTACGAGCTGCTGAAGGACCGCCTGTCTCATTGATAATTCTTACCTACTTCAGTTCTTACCTGGCTTGTACTTAAGAATGAAGCGAAAAATGTTCCAACAATAAAAACCAAAATGTACAGACTGGAAATATAGTAAATGGGGTAGTACCTACATACAAACGTATGCGTAATAGTTCGTTAGACATTAGGTATTTATCAAAATTAACCAAATCTCTTAGTTTACGCACTATTGGACGAGCACTCCTTAAAACGGTCAGAATACTTAATCGCATTATTCCATTCACACCTACCTTAAACTTTGCCAGATGAACCTAACACAAATTTGCGGATATTTCTCGTCAACCTGGTAATATTTGATTTTGAAGTTTCTAGAAGTATCTCAATGGGAATATTATAATGGACAAATAAAACAAACAAATTATTGTTATTATTATTTGTTGTTTTAATCCATTAGACGCTTATAGGCTATCGCATACTTTTCTTGAAAAATCGGTAATAAATTCAGTGAAGCATCTTTGCCCCTTAATTCCTATGGGTAAATTGGGATTTTGAATAGAGATCGCAGAAACATTTTTTATGGTTTTATGGTTTATTTACATAATTTACTTATTTACAATGAATGTTTTTAATATATAATACAAGTTCTTGATATTATTTATTTTTATTACAATTAATAATCTTGTGTTATTTTTCATTTTCAACAAGAAAATTTTATCGCTTATTATCTAACATATTTTTATACAATGAGAAACACCATATGTTTCACATCACAGGACGTTGCAGGAAAATACTTAAGTAAATAAGCTTTTGTTATTTCACTTCGACGCAAGAACCGTTTCAAAGAAAACAAACAGTGAAAAAGCGGAACAGATTCACAAAGTTTTCTGTTCTTTTTTTCTTCGGTTTTGCAGTGGGTGGGAAATATGGTGTATTGTACATTTTACAATAAAAATATCGATTTCAGGCAAATTTCCGCACCACCAATGAGGTATTGCCACGGCGCGTTTTTTTTTTTGTTTTAGCAGTGCTATCCCCAATAGGCCTAATACACTACTTGCCGATATTGATTCAGATAATTATCCGCTGAATTAAGACATGATACTGGAAAACTGACACAAATAAACCACTCAATTTACAAAAACTGCAGCTTAAAATATCCTGATTTTTTTACATGCATTAGGCCTATTGGGGATAGCACTGCTAAAACAAAAAAAAAAACGCGCCGTGGCAATACCTCATTGGTGGTGCGGAAATTTGCCTGAAATCGATATTTTTATTGTAAAATGTACAATACACCATATTTCCCACCCACTGCAAAACCGAAGAAAAAAAGAACAGAAAACTTTGTGAATCTGTCCCGCTTTTTCACTGTTTGTTTTCTTTGAAACGGTTCTTGCGTCGAAGTGAAATAACAAAAGCTTATTTACTTAAGTATTTTCCTGCAACGTCCTGTGATGTGAAACATATGGTGTTTCTCATTGTATAAAAATATGTTAGATAATAAGCGACAAAATTTTCTTGTTGAAAATGAAAAATAACACAAGATTATTAATTGTAATAAAAATAAATAATATCAAGAACTTGTATTATATATTAAAAACATTCATTGTAAATAAGTAAATTATGTAAATAAACCATAAAACCATAAAAAATGTTTCTGCGATCTCTATTCAAAATCCCAATTTACCCATAGGAATTAAGGGGCAAAGATGCTTCACTGAATTTATTACCGATTTTTCAAGAAAAGTATGCGATAGCCTATAAGCGTCTAATGGATTAAAACAACAAATAATAATAACAATAATTTGTTTGTTTTATTTGTCCATTATAATATTCCCATTGAGATACTTCTAGAAACTTCAAAATCAAATATTACCAGGTTGACGAGAAATATCCGCAAATTTGTGTTAGGTTCATCTGGCAAAGTTTAAGGTAGGTGTGAATGGAATAATGCGATTAAGTATTCTGACCGTTTTAAGGAGTGCTCGTCCAATAGTGCGTAAACTAAGAGATTTGGTTAATTTTGATAAATACCTAATGTCTAACGAACTATTACGCATACGTTTGTATGTAGGTACTACCCCCTTTACTATATTTCCAGTCTGTACATTTTGGTTTTTATTGTTGGAACATTTTTCGCTTCATTCTTAAGTACAAGCCAGGTAAGAACTGAAGTAGGTAAGAATTATCAATGAGACCGGCGGTCCTTCAGCAGCTCGTAAATGAAGAGATTTGTAATAAAGTTTCCTAGAACAGCCTGTCTCTTCAATGAAAATTTTAGTTTGTTAACGTAATTAAGTAGGTAGGTAAAATTTTAAACCGGATCCATATTTTTACTATGAAATGTGGGTACAATATGCTGTATTCCTTTCTCGCTGCAAGACAGAACAAATAGATGAATAGTTTTTAAAACTGTTCCATTTTTCCACTGTTTATATTCTTGTGTCGAAGTGAAACACTAAAAAGCCGAAAGTCCGGAGATAAAAGAGTGAGTTTTAAAACACATAAAAACGACTTCTTTTTGGAGAAGCTTATTTACTTAAATATTGTTCTGTAACGTCCCGCGACGTGGAATGGAGTTTCTTAATGTACAAAAGTATGTTGGATAATAACCGAAAAATTTTCTTGGTTAAAATTAAAGGAAACACAATTATTATTTGAAATTAAAATAAATAATATCAAGAACTTGTGCTATGTATGAAAAATATTCATTTTAAATAAGTAAACTATGTCAATAAACCATAAAACCACAACAATCTTTTTTTTGCAGAAATTATATTTCAATAAATTTTCAGTAGCGAGTTATCGATATACTTAATTGCATTTACAATATAAAATGTGAAAGAAAATGTCTTATTTTTTAGTTTATGCGGCATATGTTACCCGTTTTTTAAGACATATATGAATGGATATGTTTTGTCTTTAGTATATATCTGTCCGTCTCTAGACTAATAAATTTTAGTTTAAACATTTGATGCTGATTTGCACGAATAAACAAATTAAAACATTAGCCAAACAGCGGTTGCTAACGATGTCAGAAAAAGTGACTTGATTTGAACTTTTTCCAAAATAGTAATTATTTTATCGAACAAAAAAAATATGTTGACAGTATGAAATAAAATCCATAATGACATACCTCCGATAACTCTTTTCGCAGAACTCGTTTCGAAATTAAAAACTCGGCTCCCTACGGTCGCCTCGTCCTGAAACATCTCACTCTTTCTATAAAATTTGAGTTACCGGACCGTATTTATAATAATGTTAGCACTAACAAGTATTTAAAATAACAAGTACTTAATAATTCGTTTGTTTTATTTATTTTTATTCATTATAATAATCCCATTTCTTTATCAGAAACTTTTAAACGAAATAAATCCTACTTGGCTAGAAATAACGGCAAATTTGTGTTAGGCTCATCTGGCAACGTTGCAAATTATTTAAATGCTAACTATGAGATTTTTACACACTTTTTCGTCGCCCTCTATCGAGTGGTAGATTTATTAAATATATTATTAGTGTGATTTGTGTTACCTATGCGCGTGATTGGTGTCCAAGCTTTTCGCCGGCGTTTGACGGCCGACCGTTGGTGCGCCATCTCTTGTTCGCCGGCCGTTGGCCTGTTCGCTCCAAACAATAGCATGGGTCTATCTATATGTATTTAATCAATGCGCTGTGGAAGTAAAAAGATGCTCTTATACTATATAATATTTACAGACATCATTTTTTAAGCGTCTGTTATATTTTTATTATTGCATTTGTAATTCTAACATCCTGGATATGTGAAAAATGTAAATAATTGTATATAAAAAAAGTAGACTGTTTCGGGAAATTTGCCGGTGTCCCGGTGGCACAATCCGACACTGTCCGGTTATTAACAGACCAAAAGTCTAACACTAATTCAGTAAAAAAAAAACGTGCCAAATAAAACTGGATTGTGTTTAAATAAATTAATTAAAAAAGTTTAAACTAGCCTTTCTAAGTACAATATATATGTATATAGAAAAATAAGAAATTTAGAACTGATTGCTTGTAAGGGTTTTATGAGTGTCAATGTTTTTTAGAATATGTATAACAAATTGTTACATTGAAATATCTTAAAGTAAAATGTTGTGTCTACATTTAGGTTACGTCATTGTTAACCTCAACCTCAAACAAATCACAATCACACTAACAGTGACATATGGCATCAATGACATTTACTATACATTTACAGAGTGGAGATACCAACGGAAGCTGGTATGACCAACGATAACCCAATCTAAATCCATTTTTTTTCGATATTTCTGACAAAAGCATAACACAAATCCAAATTTGAGATCAACTTTGGTCACACATATGGTCATGAAGAGTCAACAAAAACAAACTTAAAAAAATATTTGCTACCAACAATCTGGATTGTACAGAAATTATTAAAATACATTACGTACCTTTCTGGAGTTCCTAGTCGCGTTTCTTTCCTAGAAGTATCTACTTTTGTTGTATGGATTAGGGTGAAAATAATTTCCACCACAATGAGCATATACTATTTAAATCTGTAGAATACAAAATCAGTTTTAAAACTATTGGAAAAAATTATTAATACATATGGAACAATATAATAACCTACACATTCCAGTCTTTCGTTCATATTTATTACAACAATTAATTCAAATCACAGTATACTTTTAAGTGACCTTCAAGTCTCAGAATGTGAATGGGAATTTTTTCGCCCTCTTTTACACATTTTCGATTATTTAACAAAGTACAAGACTTGTTATAATGTGTACTGTTTAAAGTGCTGAATTTGTTTTCATCACTGGTAAAGTGAATGTCAAACCAATACAGAATTCCATTGCAAGACCCGTCGGAAGTGATATCCACTTCCTTATGAAAATCCACCTTCTCCAAGTCGCTGATATCAAAAACAGCTATTGTGGAATGAGCTTCGTGTTCAAACGTCTCCAAATTTGGATGTTCACTTCCCTACACATAAAGTACATAAATAATTACTATAATTAGTTTAATAACAACTTACAGAATACTTATTTATTTCTTCAAATATTTCAAAATTCAACGCATTGCTGTCATCCACTTTATTGCAAACATCCAAGTATTTAGAACTAATAAATTGAGCGTTAAGAACGATCTTCTTAGGGAGCGATTCACACTTAAATATTTGCTCTGTCTCTACAGTAAATTCCTCCTTGTTCCAGGATCCGTCCGTTTTTATGATATTTGTAAAAACAATGTGTGGCTGTTCCACATAAATTATATATTCTTGCAGTTCTTTCTGATGTACGCAAATTAATTTGTTGGCGGGTAAATCATTCCTAACCATAATTTCATTAAATAACGATAAGTCACACTCATCTTTGTATATATGCCAGACAGTGGCCCCTTTTTTTGCCATCAAAAGTCCAAACAGCGGGAAAATGTTAAAGTCAACTATGCGCAAATCAGGCGCTGTATACTTATCAGCAGCGTTAATTATACTCTGAATTAACTGCGTGTCATTGAGAAATGAAATCACCTCTGTACTAACTTCAAAACAATTACTGCAATTAATACTTTTTGATACTACTTCAAAGTGAACTTGGCCATTTACCATGCTAGGTTTAATTTTGACTATTTCACCAGCTGATACTTGTATTGGATGCTTCAAATAAAACACCGCTTGTTCCCAACATTGATTATCCAAATTACTAGGATCTGTAGAAATTGTAATTTCTTTATCTAAACAGAGATCAAACCACATAGCAAAAGCATGGAGAACACCTTTTTCGTTACAAGTCAACTCAACAGTGTCAATACAGTCACTGCTCTCTAACAGCTTTTCCAGTTGTGGTTTATCATAAAAATTGACTTCCAAAAACGAGTTCGTGTTTGTTAAATATTTCACGTTTTTGTTTTTCAAAAACTCTGCATCATACGGTTCTGCGTCCACTTCCCTTATACAAATGTCTTTCAAATTTAGTTCATCTAGTTGATGTATGTAACGATGTTTTCTCAATATTTCTGCGCTTTCTATTCCAGTGACATACAACTTAACTCCAGCTGGAATTATTTTAAAATTCTTTTCTACTAAAAAATTATCCATTGAATGTTTAATTGTTTCAAGACAGTCTTCACCAAAAACTCCCGCGTCAAATATTTCCGTCAAAATTAAATTGCAAGGGGTAGGTGGAACACTGGCCATGTTGGAGTTCCGCGTTATTAACGTAATATTCTCATTTACATTATTCCTTTTAAATATATTTGAAGCTATATCACTCAAAGTTTTGTTTTCTTCAAACGCCACTACCGTCACGTCTTTGTCGCAGTTTGTAGCTATCAAACTTAAGAGCCCACATCCTGTACCAATGTCATACACTTTTTTAAAACCATGATTAATCGCATTTGTAATTGCCTTTTTGTAGGATTCGTTCCTCTTCTGGTCATTCAGCATTCGAAAATGCCACCGTGGGATCAAGTGCCAAATAACATGCAAGAAATTTTTTTCGCCTGGTAAGTAGCCAAGGTCAGCGGAGCTTTGTAGAAATTTTCGAGCAACCGTGTATTCACCATGTGAGAAAAAAAACACACCAAACGCATTCAATAGAATGGCGTTCTGTGGATACCGGTTTAATACTTTCAAGTAGCATTTTAATACTTCCTGTTCAATTTCCTGGTTTAATTCACTGAGATTGTTTAAATTCATGATCAACTTAGTCAAATTCATCTGTTCAGCTAGTTTCATCTCGTCAGGGTGGGCTAGATTCTCAATATAACTAATGTAGTTTTCTAAAGCATCTTTTTTGTTTCCTTTTTCAAAAGCTTCACGTGCCAACTCCAAGTAGTAGTCGGGCTTCATGCGGATTTTAAGCTCCTTTATCCTTGGTACTCTTTCTTCTGTAGACATCTGTAAGTTTTTATTTTATTATATATATTTTTTTTAGTTAACATACTGGACCTTGATACAGTATTAAAACAAAAACGCACGAAATCAACACATGCACAACACAAACACAAGTTAAAAGAGTATTACAGTTCTTGGGTTGAAGTGTAAAAGGTATTCACTTGCCGATTAAATTTTTAACAAAAAATATAACCTTGTTTAACTGACAAGTTGACAGCAAATGGATGTGACCGCGGTCATACTACCGGTAGGTCAACACACGCTTGTTGCAAATCATTCCGGTGCTACGGACTCACCAGAATTCTCTAATAAATTAATTGAAAAAAGAAATTCAAAATACAAAAGTAATAAAAACGGAGTAATTCAAATCTACCTACTACTAAATATTACGAAAGTGGGAGTGCTGGGGGATATTCAAAGGCAATGAGGATTTACCTTGATATTATTTTATGATAGTTATAATCTGTTTTTAAGACGATGAGAAATAAACTTCGTGTAAATATTATAAAGTAAATTTGCTTTTGAACACATGTATAAAATGCAGTAGTGAATAGTGAAATCTAGTGGTTACTTAAAATATCCGGGTTTTGGTGAACAGATAATTGCATTTTATTAATGGATTTCAAGATCTATTACCCTTGAGGATTATTTTTAAAGATGTGTAAGTAAAAACATTACAGGTCGATTTATAAACTTGCCGCTGATGTTGCTGTTGGCCGTTGGTGTTGGGTTTTCGACCAATCAAATTGCGGTAGTGCTGCCAACTTGAAGGAAAATCCCCTGAAGTAGGGGGGACATTTTTCTGGTTGACAGCCCTAATTCCACGAAAATCAAATTTTGATAGAGATAATAATGAGTTCTACTAATATTAATAAGTTATTTAATGACTTGTTCATCGAAACCCTCATATTTTAAATATCTGCCATCATTTTCTACACTGTAGCTTTCTGTCAGTATTTATTTCAAAAAAGATTAGGTGTTATAACTATATGTATAATTTTGGAAAAGATAAAATTTTCAATACCTCCTAAAATATTTACATTTTTTTAGATTTTTCCAGCTTTGGAAATATTAAAAAAAAAAACTAAATTTTTCAAAAATCGTGAATTAGCTGGACGAAATGTTTTCCCCAGGATTTTTGAGGATTTTTAGGCAACTTTACGAATACTTCAATTTTTCAATAAATTAAATTGTTTACTGTTTTTTGATTTTTGAAGTATTTAAAAAAAATCCATTTTCAAATCAAATTTTCCAAAAATTTTGATCCGGTACCACGAACACGTTATATTATTTGAATCAGCTCGTCGAAATATATCCTTTAGACTTTTTAGAGAAATTTTGGGCAACTTTCCAAAAATTGTTTTTCATTACATCCGAAGGAACTTTTTACCGTTTTTCGAGCTTTCGAATTATTAAAAAAATAATTTCTAAGCCGAATTTTTCGAAAATTTTGTTCCAGCAACACCTCATGCTTTCGAATTAGACGGTCGAAATGAGTTGTTGCTGTTTTTGAGTTAATTTCGGGATCCCGTTTTTTTTGAAAAAATTTAAAACAATCTTGAGGTTCTAGGTACTTCAATTTGGAAATAATTTGAAAGTGCTTTGGAGCCTTTAGTGTCTTTTCTTATTATAATAATTTAACTCATTTCTACCGTTCTAGCCCTAGCTGCTCGCCATCTCTTTCCTAGAGGGTATGTCATTTGCCAAAATCAGTCTTATCTTACCAAGTGCTAGCCCCGCCCACCCGTCCCCTATTTTCTCAGAGAATATGTCAATTGCCAAAATAAGACTAATGTTAGCAAATACTATATATAAGGGCTTACATTTTGCCCCTTTTTCTTAATATGTGTAGTATAGTCTTCTTTTCACAATAAGAAAGGTAAAACATGTTTAAAATAGTTAATTTTTGTAGGAAAGGATCGATTTTGCAATTATGCTCCGCCCCTCGGTCTGATAACGAATGAAAAGTTCATCACGATTGAGATCGAGGCGAATGGGTGGGGCTTCTCTTTTGGTTTTATTTTTTAATTAATAAATTTAGTTTTCTTTGTATAACTCGATTACTTAACAACATATTTCACATGGTAATTTCTTGTAGAAAAATAAGGATTTTACAATTCCCTCAGCTCACGACGAATTAAAAAAATTGGTCTAAAGAGTTGAGACAGTACTTCTCTCGCTGTCGGAAACGTGACGACTGCATGCCTATTATGTTTTTTTTTCGCAGTAGATTTCAAAGCATTCGGTTTTGCAGTTCCTGAGTAAACCAATAAAATACATTTAGGCATTCATTATTTTTTTGAGTCACCCCCTATATGCAAATTAAAAAAATATGAATGGAATCATAAATTACAAGTACAGACTCATCATATTTTGTATATTCTAGATAGGATTTATTCGGCAAACTTTTGAGCGGACGTCATCAGTTTTTTGGAGAAGATAACCAAATATATTTTGACTAAAAATTTATTATGCTCTTTATAACCTTAAAACATCTGCAAGATTTCAAAACATTCGGTTCTGTAGTTCCTGATTAAATCAATAAAATACATTTACGCATTCATTAATTTTTTTAGGTCACTCTGTATATGCAAATCCAAAAAATATGAATGGAATGATAAATCACAAGAAGAGACTCATCATATTTTGTACATTTTAGATAGGATTTATTCAGCAAAATTTTGGGGTGACGCCATTAATTTCTTAGGGGGGGATAAACAAATACATTTTGATCAAAAACTTACCATGCTTATGATAACTTTAAAATATCTCCAAGATTTCACAGCATTCGGTTCTGTAATTCCTGATTAAATCAATAAAATAAATTGACACATTCATTAATTTTTTTGAGTCACCCCCTATATGCAAATCCAAAAAATATGAATGGAGTGATATATTACAAATACAGACTCATCATATTTTGTACATTTTAGATAGGATTTATTCGGCAAACTTTTGAGCTGACGTCATCAAGTTTTTGGAGGGGATAACCAAATATATTTTGACTAAAGATTTATGATGCTGTTTAGAGCCTTAAAACATCTGCAACATTTCAAAACATTCGGGTTAGCAGATTCAAAATTAAATTGAAAAATGTTGTTTTATAATTTTGATTTTTTTTCCAAAAATCTGGACGTTTCGGGTAAAAACTGAATTCGGAGTCGTAAACTACATGTGTAGGACTATGTTATTTTATACTATTTAAGACCTATTTACTATGTACAATTTTGAAGTGACGTCATCGCATTAGTGGTGGGGATGATTAGACAAATTTTGGTTAGCGTTTTACCATCTACATGATATTCCTAGTATAAGTACAAAATTTCACAATAATCGGTCCAGTACTTTCGGAGATAATCTGTCTAATAAAAATCCGGGACGGCAGACAGACGGACAGACGGACAGACGGACAGACAGACGGAAATGGTAGACCTATTTCTTCGTCTTCTAGGGGTCATGAAAGATCGAGAAAACGTAAAAGTAGAGAGTCGGCCGACAGACTCGATTACAATACTTCCTTTGCTTACGCTCGGGAAGTAAAAATCATCAAAATTGAGATAGGACGGGTGGGTGGGGCTTTATATTGCCTTTTTTTCTTAATATACATAGCCATCTTACTACAACAAGAAACTTAAAACATGGTTAAAATGGTACATTTTTGCAAGGAAATATGGATTTTGCGATTACGGGGCGGTGCCTAATTGCAAAATCGATATTTCCTTATACAAATTTTTCATTTTAGACATGTTTTAACTTTCATGTTGTGAAAAGAAGTCTACACATACTAAAATAACAAGGCAAAATATAAGCCCGCCCACCCACCCTATCTTAATTGTGATGATTTTTTTTTTATTCACCGTGAACGAAGTGGGCAGAGATTAACTGCAAAATACTTATTTCTTTACAAGAAATTAAAAAGATGTTCTTGAGTATCGTGTTTTTCAAAGAATACTACGTATATTAAGAAAAAAAGACAAATTATACCCCGCCCACCCACTCCATCTCAATTGTGACGATTTTTTTTATTTTTAGAAACTTAAAACGCGTTTACAATGGCAAATTTTTGTAAGGAAATATGGATTTTGCAATTAGGCTTCGCCCCTAGGCCTGCCAACGAATGAAAAGTTTATTACTATTTACATCAGGGCAGGTGTGGGTGGGGCTTATTTTTGGCTTTCATTTTTTCTTAATATACGTAGTATTTTTTAAATAACGCGGTATTGAAAAACATGTCTTACATGGTAATTTCTTGTAGAGAAATAATAAGGATTTTGCAATTAATTTCCGCTCCTTTGGTCCTCGACAATTAAAAAAAATCATCATAGTTGAATGCGGGTGGGCGGGGCTTATATTTTGCCTTTTTTTTTCTGAATATACTTATATTGTTATCGTAGTCGTCTTTTCAGAACAAGAACCCTAAAACATGTTTAAAATAGTAAATTTTTGTAGACAAATATGGATTTTGTAATTAAACCCCGCCCTTCGATCTGACAACGAATCAAAAATTTGATTATAACATTTTTCCTTAAAAAAAAAATCACAAAACAACACCTAATATTGTAAAATCATTGAGACATTTTGTTGATCCATTACATCACTGCCAAATCGTGAACCGAGAACACTTTGAACATTTATTGTGGTCCTACCGTCCTACTCTTAATAGTTTATTATTTATTAGGAGTAGTATTTTCAAAGATGACGTAATTTTACAATATCAGGTTTTTTATTCTGCATCAGAAAATGTCAAAAAAATCTGGATGTTCCATTAAAAAAAAGTAGGAGGCCTTTTGTGTCAAACCGAAAGATTTAAAAAAATATTGTAATCAAGTCGCCATGTTTAACTATATATCCACACAAAATTTACAAAAAAAAAAATCTTTTCAAATGACAAAGTTGTTCAATCATTCCAGGACTTTATACTAACCCTGTATACATAGTATTCATTGAACAAGATACTCAAAAACATACTTTTAATATCTTGTAAAGAAATAAGGATTTGCAGTTAAGCTCCGCCCTCTTGGCTCACGACGAATAAAAAAAATCATCAGGGCGGGTGGGCGGGGCTACATTTTGCCTTTTTTTTTTCTTAATATGTACAGACTTATTTCGACAAGAAGACACTTAAAACATGTCTAAAATGGTAATTTTTTGTAGTAATCATCTTAAATCCTCCACTTTTCTTCTACATACAACTCCTTTAAATATGGAAAAAGTTGAACATCAAAGTAACGTCAGCGGAAACAGCAACTGCAACGGGAACTTCAACGTCAACAGCAAATTTATAAATCCCACTTAATATTTATCAGCACTCAAATTGTTTGACAACGATGAATCATTTGGGCTGATTTTCCTACATTTTAAATTCGGTCCCGCGAAATCTACCAATCGAATGTGGTGCTTAATTTAAAAACTTCATTGTTGCCAACTTAAATTTGAGTGTGGATAACTATCACCACCTTTTACCATGTTTTTCACTTAATTGATACCACTGAATCGGCGGTCATCATAGTCGTGCAGAAGCTCTGACACTATTATATTATTATATTCATCGTGCATGCACAAAGCAGATAACTGAACCTAACTTTCTCTTCGTTTTCCACTAAAAATGCGTAGCCATGTTGCTTCTTATCTTAATAAGAGAAATGGCGACATTGGTGGAGTTGCATATCATCCAACAATAGAACGTCTTTATTGTTCACATATCAAATGTCCAACCGAAAGTTTAAAAAATATAGCTTTTTTTTGTAATCTAGGGGAATTAAAAACCAGTTTGGTAACGCACGTAAGGCGCGTTATTGGTTGCAGACGTGTTGCAGACCCCATGGCCGCAAATGACAGCTGACAGCACCTGCAAAATGGAAGCGTTGTGAAGTGCCGTTGTTTTGTAAATATTTTAGAAGAATCTCAAGTTTCCTCATTATAGATCTGATGTACAAATACTAAATTCCTTGTGATTTAATTTTAGTGTGTTTGTCGGTTTCTTAACACTTGCGGCAAAATGGCTCTTCCAGCCAATTACAAACAAGTTGCGATGCAAATGCCTAGCCCCCAAACAAACCGTAAGAATTTCCATAAGTTGTAACAATTTGCATTATAAAATAAATTATTTTACGCGAAGTCCCGTAGTTTTTTCCAGTAATTACTAGTTTTTAAACGTACCAAAGTAAATCCAGTAAATTCTTTCAGAGCTTGCAGTTCGCATGAGTATTTTTTGTAAACCGCTGATTTTTACTTAATTTATTATTTTAATTATTGTTGAAATGATGGATTTATTAGCATTTGAATTTACAAGTTAATAGCATGTTTTATTAGATTTAAGCCTTTAATACTGTGGTTTATCAACCGTTCAATTTGGTCACTTTTCTTTGGTTTGTTATAAGCCATAGTATACTTTTTTTTGTAGAATAGTGCTGATGATATGCTTTGTTTGTGTTTGTTGTTCAGATTTGCTGTCGGCAGGCGTGCCCATGACTTTCAACATATTGAAAGGTAACTGCAAACTTCGTTTTATTAACACTCTTTAATAATTTGATGAGTTAAGTTTTATGATACATTTTTCTGAGCAAGCTTTTGCTTCACTCTTATATCATCGTATCAACTCAAATTGCAAGACCTTTTGGTTTCATACAGGATAGTTTGGATGAAAATGATCCATCAGGAATAAGTTGCTCGAAAACCGATCTGCAAATTGAAATCATAATGAAGTGGAGACAATACAGTAGTGAAAATGTTTTATAGTAGAGACAAGTAGTTTGTTTATAAGGGAGTAAAAGTGTAGAATGTAATTTATTAGGTTTGATTTTCTGATGGTTTACTTTTCGCCAAATGGTCTATAGTCGTTTTTTTCTCTTCATTCCATAGAATCATGCAGAATGTTGATAAGTAGAAGATCTAGACGCAGCCATCATTGCTTATTGTTCAGTAGCGTTGCACTAATTAACAAGGTTATTCATAAATCCAAGTGTGTATTTTTTTTATCATTTTAACTCTTTTATTGTAATTTGTAATTGTTTCAAGGTAAGTAGAATTTGGCATTGTTAACAATTTGTTTATTAATTGCACGAAACCCCCTTATACGTGTGACCAATTAAGTAATATAAATCGTATTTTTTCTAGAGCGTTTAAGAGCCTCAGGAGGGTCAGGTTCAGGAACCAACGTAAGTCTCTCAAGTACTTGTTACTGATTAATGCTTATGTATTGACTCACACTATCAAAAAATTTTCATCTAAAAAATTATCTCTGCCTGTGCAAACAGATCAATAAGTCCTACAGTTGTATTTACAGAAAGAAACAAGTCCATTTATCACAACTCCAAATGGCCATTCCGGATTTTTACCACAAAAAGTGGGAAAGAGCTCTGCCGTAAGTAAATATTTGCATTTTCTTTCATAAGCTCAATGACTTATCTGTTGATAATTCTGAGTTATCTAAAACAAATAACATTTACGTATCTCAAAACTGTTCGTTTTTCGTGGATTTTCATTTAGTGCGATGCATCGCTACGGTAACAATTACTATTACTATACCCCGAATCAAGGGTACGGTTACAATAATAATCACAATTACGGGCTTAGCAGCAATTATAACCCTGGTTACAACGCTTACGCGTATAACAATTATAACCAATATCAGTATTGGCAGCAGGTATGTCTTGTAGCTTACTTTTTATGATGCTTTTTGACCTTGCGTTCGGTTTTGGGTTAGAAGTTTGTTTGTAGTGAAAATGATTATAAAATAAAGAACGGAATAACTGCGTAGCTGCAACTTGAATAAAAAACTTTTGTCAAATGAAGGCAGTGTAAAAGTTTTAAATAAGTAAAAATGTGTGCTTTGGTAACTATTTTTTACTATCAGTAGCGGAAAAACTGTAAAAATGTTTAATCAAATGTCGTGACGTTGTTTCTTGGAATTGTTTAGGAACTACGTGCTTTTTATTTGTATTTAATTTGGGGGGTATTTGACCACTTCAAAGTTTTTTTTTGTAGTATTTATTACTACAAAACGTTTCAAGTATGCATGTTATGTAAAGTAGTGACTTTATCTCTTGTCATTGTTGTAGTGTTGGCAACCTTAAACATACAAAGTAAGGTAAATTAGAACAGTTGCGTTATTTTGTGCCTGTTATAATCCGGCTGATAATTCGTAATATTTTCCAAAACGACGTCGAGTCTTCTCAGAAATATTGAGACATTGTAAAGTAATTTATATTTATTCAGTCGTTTCGTAATTTTATTTAGTTACATTTTAATTCACATAATTACTTCGGAAGTTCCAACCATTAACTTAAGCATATTTGAATTTTGTTTACGTATTACACAGCATAATATTAAATATATTTGACAAAGTTGTGTAAAATACTTCATAAAAAATCTTAACACAAACATTGTTTTTCTTTTTATTCTTGCTATTATTGAGTTTGTTTGAAAAATCTTCCTTTGTTCAAAAATTAAGTTTTAAATAGAAGAGAAATCCATTGGTGCGCTATTTGTTCATGGGAAGGGATAGAACGCCACTCTTCTATTATCTAACATCAATTTTAATTGTTCTATCCCTACAAAGAACCATTAATCTTTATCTTATCTACATCGCTCATTGCATATTTAAATGGGATTAGCCTGTGTTTTACGGCTACATTTATGTGAACCGAAAAAATGTGCAAGATATAGATCTGTTTAAAACTAGATAATTAATCAATTCCCGTTTTGGAATGCCACCGGAAAAGTTTAAAGAGATCTGAGTTATAATCTGTTCTAGAATGACGCGCGAACGCCCAAACCTCCAAAACCCCCTGAAAAGCCCCTCATGCCGTACATGCGTTACAGTAGAAAAGTTTGGGATACTGTAAAGGCTCAAAATCCAGATCTGAAACTATGGGAAATTGGAAAAATCATCGGGCAGATGTGGAGAGATCTCCCAGAGGACGAAAAAACCGAATTTGTCGAAGAGTATGAAGGCGAAAAAGTACGTTTTTAACATTCCGTGTAAAAATCCAACAACGAAAATTCCATTCCAGGTCGAATACGAAAAAACATTAAAAACCTACCACAACTCCCCAGCATATCTAGCCTTTATAAACGCAAAAAATAGAGGTAAAACCGGTAAGTGCCAGCGTTACAAGTACAAAAATTATTTTCTTGTAACGTGTATTTAAGGTAACGACAGCGACACTCACGACAGAACCAGTTCTTCGTCCAAACAGCAAGCGGCAGATCGCCGGATTGAAATTCAAGCCGCCGAAGATGAAGACGGTATTTAATTTCGATTGCCTTTTTTCACTCTAGTTTGCATCTTTGTAGATCAAGACGACGGGTACTCGGTCAAACACGTCGCTTATGCGCGTTTCTTGAGGAATCACCGCTTAATCAACGAAATTTTCTCGGATACGGTAGTCCCAGACGTGCGCTCAGTAGTAACTACTGGAAGAATGCAAGTTTTGAAGCGTCAAGTCCAATCTCTAACTATGCATCAAAAGAAGCTTGAAGCCGAGTTGCAACAAATTGAAGAAAGGTTTGAAGCGAAGAAGCGGAAGTTTATTGAAAGTAGCGAACAGTTTCAGGAAGAATTGAAAAAGGTTTGTTTTTGTTTTTTGTTTGTTGAGTTTGCTGAGTGTTAGTGTTTAGCATTGTAAACCTGCGGTCGACGAAGACGCGTTTCAAAAGATGGTTGAAAGACAGTATGATTTGTTGAAGAAGGAAAGAATGAAGAGTTTGGAGGAACAGAAGCCCAAGATTGAAGAGAATGGAACTGCTGCTGTACCGGAAGCACAGGCTGCTAGTGTACACTCGGAGCAACCACCGCCTCAGCAAGACGGACAACCCCAGTCAGAGGTACTTTAGTAGCGTTAGAAATTTAACCCTGAATGACGCATGCAGTAAGTAGGGACTAGAAGGCTTGCAAGTCGGTGTGATATAATGGGTCTTTTGGAAATGTTGATATTTTGTATAGAAATCTCATTACTTCACATCTGGTTTGTATGTGTTTCTGGAGTTTATGGTGAAATTTTTCTTTGATTTGATAGTTAAATGGGATGGTCATCGTGATTAACAGCGATTTGATGTAAGAATTTTACATTATCCAGTCGTTGATTTGTCGAATGGGGCGACATCTATTTCTGTTGGGAATGTATCGCATTAAATGATAAAGCGAATAAATTGAGAGATAACGAAAATACAATAATTCGTCAGTACATCATCCGATTTTAGCCGTAAAATTGATTGTCAGAAATTCCAGTGACGACGCGTGATTCAAATTTCTGTATCTCTTGTTATGTTATTTCAAAGTCACGAATAATATGATTTTAGAAATAAAAATAGTATCAGAAATATTTCATTTCAGAAACTGCAACTTACACAGGAACAATAAAATTGTTATTTGGGTTGAAATATTAATTTCGGGTTACAAGATTTAACAATAAAATTTTGGTATTTTAACAGTTAAATAAAAGTATTAGTCCACCAATGAACTTGTATTTAGACGTAATTAAACGAATTGTAGGTTAAGACTGATTTCATAAAAGACGCTCAAGCAATTTATAAGTATTTGACGTATATTTCGAAATACAAACTCAGTACAAACTGAAAGTTGACAATAGAAAAATTGTGCTCATGATTACCTACTTCAACGGTAAATGTTCTCAAATTTAGTAACTTTTACTACCTGTTTTTTCACGTCCTCGTCACTGCCATTTTAAAGTAGAAATTATTGAATATATTTGGAGATTGTGAATGAAAATAGTTACAAACGTTGCCTTAGAACAGTTTCAAACTTGTCATAAGTTTTGGAAAGCTAATCTAAATAAATATAACTTACCTAGAAGACATAAACAGTGGGACCAACTTAACAGTTTTTGACAGGACAGATGTATTTCAATAAAGTTGTATTGACTTATCTTTAAAACATGTCTATCAATTAGTAGACTTCTTTACACTTGTTGAAACATACAATAACTTCATAAACTTTATATTTTCGTAGTTTGTAAAAACAGAATAGTAGAAACTTTCCTTGTCAAATGCTTTTACGTTAAATATTTTCATAGAAACACAGTACATATAAAGTGTAAAATGTAGGTATGTGCAAATGTTTACTTACAAATTTACATCCTATGGATGTATTTACTTCTGCTGTATCCACGTCTCTCTTTTTCATTTTTTTTAATACTTTAAACTTTCTGAAGTAAGAAGTTTTATTATTAAACTTGTCACGTCAAAATGCTTGTGGTATTCAGGCAGCGTCGTCACTGTGAAATTCATTTTCGAGAAAATTTAGCTGTCGCTGTCGATCCACAACACTTCCCATCACTTTTCATTTCACTTAAAATACACTTTTGTTAGGGGTTGCATCCATAGATAAAAAAAAAAGAAAATGGTTTGCAAGGTCATTTACATCTGTTATTTTTCATTCGCCTCATAATCTTTAATTTTAGCTCCTTCTATGTATTACTTATTTTACTTGACTTAAGAGAAAAAATCAAAAATAAAGTTATGGTTGATGATTTGTTATTTTCTTTTATAATTAGTTAATTTTATTTTTTCATTTTTGAGTTATTTTTCGCATTACAGTAAGTATCGTCTTTGGAACTTCCATGCTTGGATTTTTATTTGATTCTTAAAAAAAATAGCCTGTTTTGTAGATACTAATTGGGTGTTGGTGACAATCTAACTTATAACTTGAAAAAGTTGACCATCCTATTTTACCATGTAGCTACTTCGTCCTACTGACTTTACATTCTCATCTCCTTCCACTTCACCCTGTACAGGTAAAGTTATAAACTTACATTTCTTCTAAGTAGTGGGTGTAACTTTTCTCTATTCCAACCACAATTTATAACGAGGTATGAAATCGATTTCGTGCAGCCCATGGAACAAGACGAGAAACCGCCAAGACCCAACGACAACCCCAGTCCAGTGAACCAACCCCCACCAACCAACGGCACGCCGGAAAGCAAACCACCACCACCAGAAGCCCCCGAACACAAACCGCCCTCGCAGCTCCCCGAGCAACCCCAGCCCCCGATTCCCGAGCCCCAGGGCCCCCCTCAGCCCCACATGCCGCCTCCGCAACACGGCATCCCTCCGCCCGCGACCCAGCCCCCGATGCACCACCACCCGGCACCGTCGCACATGCCGCCTCAATCCCACCCGGTCCCGCCGCCCCACATGCCCCCGGCTCCCCACGGCATGCCCCCCAACCCTTCCCAACAGAACATGATGGCTCCAGGACAGGTGCCCCCGTACCAGCAGTATCCGCAGGGTAGCCCCCAGACCGTCCCGCTGCCCCCGCGTCCTCCGCATCCCCCGTATGGATATCCCCAGCAGCAAGGGTACCACCAACCGTATTCTCCTCAGTATCCTCCTCATACTTACTACCATCAACCGTATCCACAGTATCCGCATATGAATAGGCCCCATTTGTACCCTCCGCATGGACCGGTCCCAGACGGGCAACCCATGCCTCCGAACCCAGAGGGGCATCCGGCTCCCATGTATGGTGGACCTGCGCCAGCCGAGGCAGAGAGGGTGCAACCGAGCGGGGAAGATTCGCATCCACGGGCCCCAGATGAAAGTAAACATGGTGGGTACACAGAGGAGCAGTTTGGCCAAAAAATAAGTTTTGAAACGTGAACTTAAAATAGTACTTATTTTTTGGCCCAACTGTTTAAATTTGGCACTGATGGTGACGTTTGACTTTTTTCTTCCAGAATCTAATTCTGATACTCATAGCAGCGATAAGGAAAAGAAAGAGAACGAATAATTTTTTTATATATACCAAGTTTTATTTCTTTTGTCCCATTTTAGTTTACAGTGAGCACGTATGTAGCTATTTTCTTTTGTTATTTTTGCAATAAAAATTTAATATGATGTAGGAATCGATTGGTTTCTTTCTATACCAATTCAGTACCACTTCACGTTCATTCTTTCGCGTTATCTCAACACTTCGTATTTTCATCACTATTTTACACGGTAATTTGAGTCGGTACACGTTGCCTTTAATTTTTTTCCTTTCACGAATTTTTTCGTCTTCCGAATTGAATTATCATCGGTTTATTTTTCAAAAGTGTTCCATTGAATTGATTCAACGCCACTTCCGCAGTCTTCTCGTCTGAAAAAAATTGTATAAACATCAAAAAGTGAGTATTACTCAAGGTCAAGTAACACTTGCGCACAACGCTCGTTCATCATCAAAATTTGCGGTATAACCTTATTTACAGGTGAAGACAGTTACACAAGCAGATAAGAATGGTGGAGGCTTAGAAATAATTAAGAGCCAACCAGCCTTGCAGTGAAGTCTTCATTTTTTTAAATAGAGCTGTACATAATATATTATTTTTTTATCTAAAATAAAATTGAGAAAGTCATTTGTATTTTCCTATGGATTGTGAACCATGTAATATTCTTTGTAAACTACAATCGCACGCAAAAGTATTGTCGGTACCCAGCAGTGAGTTTTCTTGACATAAAATTGAATTAATGGAGTTTAAACAAGTAACCGCCACATCCGTACAAACCATTATTTTTTAACAAAAATGAATATTTATATTTTATATGGGAAGTGATGTTTTTTTTATCAATTTGACGCAGTGAAAAATCTAATAAACTGACGAATATTGACAATTCGAAAATAAAACAAGATGAAACCTCGGAATGAAATATATAAAAATAATCTTCTATTTATTTCAATTTTGATACTTTTAAATACTTTGACTTTTCGTGTTTTTGATTTTTTCTTATTCGATTTTTCAAAATGTTGCGACTTTTTAAGTCTTACATTTTTCGAATTTTTGCTTTCTTATTTTTAGATGTTTTGATTTTTCAATTTTTCGGAATTAATTTTTGAGTTTTTCGATTGAATGGTTTTCTTTCAATTTTTCACTTTTTGATTTATCGGTTTTTTTAAGTTAAAATTTTTCGATCTTTAGCCACTTCCATTACTCATTTTTTGGATTTATTGACTTCTCGATCTTTTGACGTTTCGATTTAACAATTTTTCAATTTATCGATTTTGATTTCTCGATTTCTCAGTTTTGGGATTTATCTATTTAAATTTTTCGAGTTTTCAATTTTTGGCGTTTCTAAATTTTTCGATTTCTCAATTTTGGGATTTTTCAATATGTACTTCGATTTTTAAATTTTTAGATTTTTAGACTTTGTTTTTTTGATTTTTTATTTATTCGATTTTTCAAAATTTTGCGATTTTTTAAATCTTACACTTTTCCATTTTTCAATTTTTTGATTTCTCGATTTTGTAAATTTTCAATTTTTTGCCTTCTCGTTTTTAGATGTTTCGATTTTTCAATTTTTCGGAATTACTTTTTCAGTTTTTCGATATTTCGGTTTTTCAATTTGCGATTTAACGATTTTCTTTTGATTTTTCGCCTTCTCGTTATTAAAATTTCCGGTTTTTCAATTTTTCCGAATTAATTTTTCGGTTTTTCGATTTTTCACTTTTTGGTTTATCGTTTTTTTTTTTTGAATTTTCTCACCCATTTTTCGACTTCCCGATCTTTTGATGTTTCGATTTCTCAGTTTTTCGATAACTCATCTTTTCGTTTTCCTATTTTTCCACGTTTCAATTTTGGGATTTATGTATTACGTTTCTAAATTTTTCGATTTCTCGATGAATGGATTTTTTAATTTTTCAAAATGTATTCCGATTTTTAAATTTTTTGATGTTTTGATCGCTCGATTTTTTAAATCTTCAATTTTTCGAATTTTTAAATTTTAGATTTTTCACATTTTTGTTGTTTCGATTTCTCAATTGTTAGATTTTTTGCCGTCTCGTTTTTGAATTTTTCAATTTTTTGGATTAACGGTTTTCTTTCAATTTTTTGCCTATCCGTTTTTAAAATTTCCGGTTTTTCACTTCTTGGTTAATCGGTTTTTTTGGGTTAAAATTTTTCAATTTTGAATTTTCCATTCCATTTTTCGATCTTTAGCCACTTCCATTTCTCAGTTTTTCGACTTCTCGAGCTTTTGATGTCTCGATTTCTCGATTTTTTAGTTTTTCGATAATTCATATTTTCGATTTTCCTATTTTTCAACGTTTCAGTTTTGGGATTTATGTACATATTTAATTTTTTTAATTTTTGGCATTTCTAAATTTTTGGATTCTTCGATTTCTCAATTTTTCGGTTAATGGATTTTATTTATTTTTCGTCTTTTCGAATTCTCAATTTCTCAATTTTGGGATTTTTCAATATGTATTTCAATTTTTAAATTTTTAGATTTTTCGACTTTGTTTTCCTGATTTTTTACTTATTCGATTTTTTCAATTTAACATTTTTGTATTTTCCGATTTGTTGATGTTTTGATTGCTAGATTTTATAATTTTCAATTTTTCAAATTTAAAAATTTTAGGTTTTTTACTTTTTTGTTGTTTCGATTTCTCAATTTTTCGATTTTTTGCCTTCTCGTTTTTAGATGTTTCGATTTTTCAATTTTTTGGAATCAATTTTTCACTATTTCGATATTTCAATTTTCGATTCAACGGCTTACTTTCAATTTTTCGCCTTCTCGTTTTTAGATTTTCCAGTTTTTCAGTTTTTCGGAATTAATTTTTCAGTTTTTGAGTTAAAATTTTTCAGTTTTGAATTTTCCCTTCCATTTTTCGATTTTTAGCCACTTCCATTTCTCAGTTTTTCGACTTTTCGAGCTTTTGATGTCTCGATTTCTCGATTTTTTAGTTTTTCGATAATTCATATTCTCGATTTTCCTATTTTTGGCGTTTCTAAATTTTTGGATTCTTCGATTTCTCAATTTTTCGGTTAATGGATTTTTTAATTTTTCGACTTCTCGATTTTTCGTCTCCGAATTCTCAATTTCTCAATTTTGGGATTTTTCAAAATGTATTTCAATTTTTAAATTTTTAGATTTTTCGACTTTGTTTTTCTGATTTTTTACTTATTCGATTTTTTAAATTTAACATTTTTGGATTTTTCAATTTTTTGATTTTTCGATTTGTTGATTTTGATTGCTAGATTTTTTAATTTTTAATTTTTCAAATTTAAAAATTTTAAATTTTTTACTTTTTTGTTTTTTCGATTTTTTGCCTTCTCGTGTTCAATTTTTTGGAATCAATTTTTCACTATTTCGATATTTCAATTTTCGATTCAACGGCTTACTTTCAATTTTTCGCCTTCTCGTTTTTAAATTTTCCGGTTTTTCAATTTTTCGGAATTAATTTTTCAGTTTTTGAGTTAAAATTTTTTTCGATTTTTAGCCACTTCCATTTCTCAATTTTTCGATTTATGTATTTAAATTTTTCAATTTTTACCATTTCTAAATTTTTGGATTTTTCGATTTCTCAATTTCTCGATTAATGGATTTTTTAATTTTTCGACTTTTCGTCTCTTCGATTTCTCAATTTTGGGATTTTTCAATATGTATTTTGATTTTTTAATTTTTTGATTTTTCGACTTTCTTTTTTTTATTTTTTACTTATTGGATTTTTCAAGATTTTGCGATTTTTTAAATCTATTAATCTTTTTGGTATTTATGTATTTAAATTTTTGACGTTTTTAAATTTTTGGATTTTTCAATTATCGATTAATCGATTTTTTAATTTTCCGATTTTGGGATTTTTTGACTTTCTGTTTTTTTGATTTTTTACTTACTCGATTGTTCAAAATTTTGCGAGTTTTTAAATCTTACATTTTCAGATATTCGATATTTTAACTTTTGGATTTTTAAAATTCTTGATTTTTCAGTTTTTCGGTTTTGACAATACATATTTTGATTTTTCCTTCAAAAACGAAACATGACATTTAAAAAAAGACGCTAGGAGCCCCTAAGATTCTGTAAAATTGTTTCCAAACAAAGAACTTCACGGATCCTCGAGATTTTTTAACACAAGAGGCCCTGAAGATTTTTTTTATATAAAAAAAAAAAAACAAAAAAATTGGCCTAAAGTTATTTAGACAGATCTTCCCTCGCCTCTGAAGTAAAAATATATTTACACTACATGCTTAACTTCAATTGTTTATGTTTATACATCGAAAGAATGCGACAATTAAGTATGCAGCAAATTGTCTCCTCAAAACAGAGGAAGCGATTAAAACTATTAATTAAGCTACAATTTTTATTTTATCATTATTAAATATAGGCGGGCGCAACATTACTGTATGCTAAAATTTTCTCGCCCCGGCGTCCTCCAGAAACCAGTAACGAGTACTGGTATTATAAAATGGGATGATTCAAAAACGAGAAGGTTGTTTTTATATGACGTCATCAATTTTTTTAATGAGATGGGTAATCAATTTTTTATGTTTTGTAAGCCCTGAATGAATTACTAATATTTTGATGGTTAAAGACACTTACAGTTCTTTAATTCATTTGTATCACTTGGGAAGTAATAAAAGACATAATATATACTTCTTACCTGTAAATTCTATAAAAGCCTGACCTCGCATTTTCCCTTTCATGACATTTATCGACATCACGTATTTTCCAACATCACAAAAAAGATTTTCCAAGTCACTTCCTTGAACCCCACCTGCTAAATTCTTCACAAAGAGAATTTTTGACGAAATTCCTTTTTCATAATTTTCAAATTTTGGTATTTTCTTAATTTCCTCCACAGACAATTTTTTTTGTTGCTTTGTACTGTTGTTATCTGACTCAGGTGCATTATTTATCTTCAATATTACTCCATCTCGTATTGTATAGTAATTTTGTGGTTTGCAAGTGAACACTTTACTTTCTGTTGCCTTATTATTTTCTACTTTACATTCCTTCAAGTCCCACTTTGTTTTTCTACAAAAAGCAGCACCATCTGCTCGAGGTTCTTTAATGATAGGTTCTTTTAATGTAGGGTTGCCAATATCATCAATCTGCTTTGCTAAACTTCTAGCTTTCTTTCTGATTTTTTTAACATCAACAGGCGCCAAATTTTTCATTAATTCTTCTTCTACACCTGTGATTAGATCCATAGGTCCTGGAAGAAGATCCTTTTGTTCATTTTCTAAAGCAAACTTTAACAATTTTGTCTCAACACTCGAAGGTTTTGTGGCTAAAGTTGTCTCAGTTGTGAGGCGATTTCTCTTAACAACTTCCCTAAACATTAAAAACGTTTAATTATATGTACACAAAGACACACTAAAGCTTACTTTGTGTCTTGGCAGCGTGACTCTCTTATTTTGCTGTATATTTCTTCCAGTTTCAATTTTAGTACCGAATGGTTCAAATTTTTATGCTTGTTTTTAACAACTTCATCTCCACTTTGAAAGTCGTGCAAAAGTTCAATTTCTTCATTTGACAATCCACATGATTTAAGTTTTTCTACATCACTAAGGTGTTGGACAGCAGTGTTGAACTTTTGTAAACTCAGCGAACCAGATGTGTAATTTGTAACTGAAAGTATTTCTGTTGATTTATAAAACTGACTATTTGCAGTCAGTTGTCTAAAAGCAGTAATTCAGTAAAATATTAGTGGAATTTAATCTGTACTTACTCCTGTAAATTTACTTTGGTGTTTCGTTGTTTTTCAGACAATCGTTTAATTAACATATCTCCATCAGACACTAATTTCTTTTCTGGGGGTTCATCCTCAAAGGTATAAATGGGTCTTTTCTGATAACTTGCACTCAATTTATTATACATTTTGAGTTGACGATTGAGAATTTATTCACTCATAACCCAAATTTGTGTGACAGATCATAAAAAAACTAAAGTCCCTAGTACCAGCATAGGGACTGTGTTTATATCTACAATAATGATTACTGACCTACAACGAAAAATTGTGACATTGGAACTACTAAAAAATCTCCGTCATTCGGGATCGTTGACTCGGGCATGTTTAAAAAAATCGACAATAAATAAATTAAAGTTTTTTTTTTGCAGCAAAAACTACACAAAATAAGAAACATTATTCTTGTAAATTTTGTATGATATCTCTGGCTCTTTCAACTTTAACTTGGGTTTCCTCCTCAGAATTTTCCGCTTCAATAATTTTCACAGCATCCTTTAATATTGAATCTCTCACTTTTCCCTTTGAATGGCTAAAATACTCAACCAGAGTTTCCCAAAATTCCTGTGGCACTTTTGAAGAATCATACATACTTTGTTGCAACCAAATTTGTCTTAATTTCTCAAACTTCCATTCACTTCTGCTGTGTTTCCACTTAGACAAATAATTTAAAGACTTTTGTTGCAACCCCAACTCAGCTTGCAACTTTTTATCTTGCAACAATTGGGCATATTTTTTTCGTTTTTGTGCTCTTATTGATTCTTTCTTCTTAGATTCAGAAGGCTCATTAGTATTTTCTTCTACCATATCAGTAGAACACTCAGCTTCATCTGAATTTTGTATTTTCCTTTTTTTTTTTGGCTTTTGTACTTCATCTTCGTTCTCCTGTTCTGTGTTTTCACTGATTTCTTGCTCCCTTTTTTTCTTTTTCTTCTTTTTTTTGCTAGAATGTTCCTCAGTAGTGTCATTGTTGTCGTTTTCAGTTGTGTGTTGATTATCACTTTCATTTTCATTGCTTACATGGACTTCTTCATCAATTCCATTATTCGTGGCAGACTTCTTTTTCTTTTTCCTTTTTCTATTTACGTGACTGTTTTCACCAGTGACGTCATTGTCAAAGGGTTCTGAACCATTTTCACGATTATGGTCAACTTCTTGGTCAACTTTTTTTACTTTCTTCGTTTTTTTCTTACTCTCTGTCTCATTGTTACTAGCATTTTCTTTCGCAAGTATTTGTTGCGCTACATGTTTGGGCACAACTTCTTCGTCAAAAGAAATTAGCTTTGAACTTTTTCCTTTCTTCTTTTTCTTATTCACTTTGTGCACATTTTCGTTTTCCATGTTTGAGGTTATGTCAGTTGTCAACACGTGTAGAGAAGACGCTAGACGCAGTAGTTACAATGAACTTCGAAGTAGATCTTGTGTTTATCCGTAGTCGAAATTATTTTTTCTTGCAAATAACTTTATTTTGGTGGTGGTGTTTGAGAAAAAAGGTTGTGACCATGCTGCGGCCACTTGGTTTACGTCATCAAAACAGTCCTCTAATTTTCCGGCCATTCACTAGAGGCGCCAGTGTCGAATTTTTAAAAATGGCGCTTATAACCACGTGTTTCTCAACCAATCACCAGTACTAGCTTATTACTACCACGTGCCGAATTCTCCATGCTCATTTCCTGAGCTCACTTTTATTTGAAATCTCGAGTTCTGAGGTTGTGTTCACGTGAGTGTTCTGTGGTGTTCATTGTGTTTATTTATTTATTTATTTATCTACAAATTTGCGATAAATAATTTTATCATTCCGTGTGGGAATTAGGTGAGTTGTGATTATTTATTTGAAAAGTAATTTAAAAGTGTATTTGTTTCCAGTTTTACTACGTATTATTATGTATAATAAAAGCCGTAAGTGTTGTGTACCTGGATGCAGATTTGAAGGTACTGAACGTTTTCGTTTGCCAAATCCTCGCAAGGAGGAAGCAATGTTACGAACATGGATCAGCATTATCGGCGGCGATCTTTTGCAAATGTCGTTGGAAGATATTTACAACAAGAAAAGAATTTGTAAGTGTCATTTTACTGACAATTATTTTAATCCAGGGTGCAAGGGTCTTTTACGAACAGCTGTACCAACTTTGTATGTCCCAAGTAAGTATTACTACATTTAAAAAAACATTCTTAACTATTCCGTTATTGTAGTGTGCATGAAAGACACCGAAAAACGTACTTTTGATGATGCCTTTGTGGAAGAATCATCATTTTCCGTGTGTACTCCTTCAGCAAAGAAAATTGGTAAGATACTATAGATGTCAATGAAATAGTTAATGTTAACTTTACAACATTAATAACAACAATTTATCACTGATCACCATAATAGTAACTCCTACTTAATAATTACTGCTTTATTCCAGCTACCGATGTTACAGTGGACATTGTAGATCCTAATTTGGAAAATGCTGCTGTAGATATGTCCCCTGTCCCCACAACTCCCACAAAAAGTAAGTGAATCAAATAACTTTATTCTTCTGTATTATGATTTTTATTTTCATTAGATCAAGAATTGCAAGGCTTGTTGAAAAGTGTCGGTGTTAATAAAGCTATTCATTTGACACCAAAAGCATCAACTTTGTACCAGGCAGCTACATCGTTGAAGAGAAAAGTACAATATTTGCACAAAAAATGCAGGGGTTTCAAAAGCAGGCTAGCAGCAGCTACAAAGCTTTCAGAAAGTGAAGCTTTTCAAAGAGTTGCTAGCAATATGTCGGTAGCTGCAAAATTATTTACCAACCTGCAGATGAGAGAAACTCACAAAAAATCCAGGGGAAGGCGATTTAGTCTCGAGGAAAAAATTTTATCACTGACAATGTATAAACAAAGTCCTAAGGCATATCGTTTATTGCAGAAGCTGTTTACCTTACCAGCAAGAAAAACATTAACTTCTTTATTACAAAAAGTTGTTTTGAATACAGGATTGAACATGGGATTGTTCAAAAACTTAAAGACCAAGGTAGAAAGAATCCCATTAAATCAAAGATATTGCTCACTGATTTTTGATGAAATGAGCATTATGCCATCACTGCAATATGATGAACATCAAGATAGAATCATTGGCTTCCAAGACAAATAAAGCGAGCAGCTCTAAAACGTCGCTTGAAGTATTTCAGTTATAAATCAAAAATACACTACAAGAGGTAGATTCTTTTAATTTAATTTTAGTGTGTTTATTACAAATATCGGTTTTCTGACACAACACCTTATTCTGTTTCTATGGAGCATTTGAGTTCACTATTTTTGACCTATTTAATATACGCTTTTTCTGTAAAATACCTACCAACAGTTTTTTAAATGATATTTTATTCAACATTTTTATTAATTTTTAATCATAAAAATTAAACATGCATTGGTTAAATTGAAGATTTTTTATTCAGTCAGGCTCATTATTACACGTGGACCCCCTTGCATATTTGATGTGCTATCAAATTGTTTAGAATACCTACTTGTTTTTAATGCCTATATAAATTGAAAACATGATGGATTAGTGTGTCCTGAACCGTACTTTCTTAATACTGAAAACAAATTTTCGAGAGGATCTTGATTCAATATTCTTGTTTGCAAAACTTCACGAGTCGTCCAAATAAGTCTAATTCCACGAATGATATTCAACAAAATCTTCTTTAAAAGGCATAGTTGTTTTAAACTGATTGCGTAGTTATTTTTTCATTTTATCCCAAAATTCAAAATGAGAAGATTTCTTAGTTAAATTACATATTGACTGGATTACAATGATTTTTGCACAATAGTTAATAATTCAGACTTTTTTGTTGAGACCTTATGTTTTATTAAAAAAGATAATAACTTTGCAGTTAGATCTATTATCTTCATTACTTTGTATTTGACTAGTGGGACTGGATCAGTATCGAAGAATTTTAATTTATTATTACTAATATTACAAGTGTAAGGTTCTCTTATGCATTGCGAAAATTATATATATATATGTATAGTATATAGATTTTATATATATATAGATTGTAATTAAATATTTCGTAAGATTAATTTACTTTTACAATAGTGTATTTGAATTGTCTCTCTCTTTTTTCCACATCATTATTTGTTCATGAAATTTATTATAATTATATAATAGTAGTTATTATAGTAATTATTGTAAAGAATTGTTACAATAGTATGACATATTATTTTTATTTGTGGTAAGTCTGGTTTATAATAAAATTGTTTTAATAGAAATGTTGTTTTAATGTCATCGATTTACTTCCATGTTATCGGTATCTATTAAAATGGGTTCTCACGTTTGGCGCTTATGGATTGTCAATACATTTTCAGAATATATCTGTGTTGTTAGAGACAAATTAAGAAAAGATTTAAAATTTCATTACAATAACAACAAGTGTGTTAATAACGGAGATATTATATTTTGAAAATGTATTGACAATCTATAAGCACCAAACCTGAGAACTCGCCTAACAGTGACTGCTGAAATATTTTAAATCCAGCCATTTCGCGCGTTTTGTAAATAATTTTGCGGCCAGCTGCAAGGGGTCGCTGCTAACGCTCTGTTTCAAAATTAATCAAGGAAGTACGCCATCTATAATACCCCTCCCTTATCTATGGTTGTGACTTACCACAGTCAAAAATAACCCTGTGTCTGTTCTTTTTTAGAATTGCAAACACCCAGTACGTCGTAATAAAGTTTTTAAGTGAGCAGTGTTGTGTAAATAAATAAACAATCTGGGAAGTTTTGTTTGGTGAATAGCCGATTTCCTTCCTGAATAAAGCCGATTCAGATTTTGTTTATTGTTGCTAGAAATTATTGAGTTATAATGGCAAGACCCAACACAATTTATGAATCAGCCCATAAAGGAGATTTTGATTTAATCAAAAGTCGACTGGATGAAGATCCTTCACTCTTAACCAAAGAAGATGAAGTAAGTAAACAATTAAGTTACGTTATTTTGCGTAATAAATGTATTATAGAACAAACGAATTTTACTGCATTGGTGCTCAGTTGGTGGTAATTTTAAACTTGCTACACATTTAGTCGAGTTGGGTTCCCCCATAGACCCTAGAGATGACACTGACACCACTCCATTAATTCTAGCAAGTTCTGCTGGACATCTAGAAATCGTTAGTCTCTTATTAGAAAAGGGAGCAAATGTAAACCAACAATCATCTGATGGTCATTCAGCACTTCAATATGCTGCTTCAAAAGCTTGGTTGTCGGTATGATTCAATCAATACCTTTTCATTCTAATTTTCTAACGTAATTTTTGGCAGATCTGCGTTAAATTAATCGATTACAACGCCAACGTTAACATTAGTGATAAACGAGGGGCGACTCCTCTGCATCGTGCAGCTTCAAAGGGTAATTTAGAAATAGTTAGACTGTTAATTCAAAAAGGGGACCACCTTAAAGTAAACGCACGCGACGCCTACGGCTGTACCCCACTCCACTTAGCCTGTGAGGAAGATAGACAGGATGTTGCTAAATTACTAGTTCAGAATGGAGGAGACCTAGAAACTAAAAATAGGGATGGACAAACACCACTAGAATTGTGTACAATGCATTTGAGAAAAGCCCTTGAAGTTATAAAGTCAAAAACTCGTTAGAGTATTTTTTTAGTTTGAATAAATTTTATAAAAACCGTTATCTTGTGTAATTTCGTTCTCACCCTCATGACTCAGCAGTTTCTCTTTTTTAGAGCTTCGGTAAATATGGTGCATGTTATTTATTTTATGTAGGACGCGCACTGATAAAGTCCTGCCAATCATGCCATTATGCCCACAAACGTGAGAGGACATAAAGAATTGAAAGTAAATATTTCCGTTACATGACAGAAAATTTGCAAGTCATTGATCTTGTTCAGTTGGTGTAAATCTGGTAGTCATTATTTATTTGTCATAGCGTACAATATCAAATTGTGATGTGTCAGCATTACCTGAAAATGCTATTAATTTTAGTTTCTCATGAAGTGACATCAACGTTTTATTGCTTGAATTTTAAGTGCACATCCTACTTAGGGTTATTAGTGTGCACAAAATAAATGCATTTTATCAGTTTTTAATATGAATAATATTAATTAATTCAGATGAAATTTACTGCCTTTATTTAGTCGCTTTTAAAAATTATTTGTTATATTATTAATATATATATAATTAGTGTTACAGTATATACAGATATTAAACTTCATCTGTTTATTTCCGCCAAAGAACTGATGACGTCATCTCAAAAATATTTTATGTAGAATTGTCGTGGATTTATTTTATTTTTAGAATTGTTTTACATAAATAGTGTTTAAAAATGTATTGTTCCACTTATTTTGTTGATTGTCCTAGAAACAGCTTATCCAATTTTCTTGAAATTCTGAGAACAGAGTTACGTTATGATTAGAATTAGATTATATTAGGTACATATTAAAATTCATTTATCATTATCAAAAACGGGCTGACGCTTTATAAATAAATTGAAATTCCGAAAGTATTAAAACTCGCCTTTAAAAAATATTACCAAAAATTAAATAATTACTGAAAAATTAATTGTTTATGGAAATAGTTGTTTTAAGATCTGGTTTATAGACGAATTTAATTTAAATATGTAATTAATCAATCAATCACGTGTTCAAACTCAACCAGTGAGATGTTCGCGTTCACGAGTAAATCGCACTATAAATTTAAATTTGAATGAAACATTTAATTCACGTTAAAATTATAAGGTTGCAGTTTAGCTTCAAATACAGGCAAAAATGTTGAGGATAAAATTCTATAAGACTACTTAAACACGGATATTTTATTACTGAACATTACTGTACAATAGTATTTCGTGACTTAATAAGTATCAACATTATTTATAAACAAGCAAAATATGATAATAATCACTGTCAACATGAAACAATAATGTAACAGGAAAATGATATTTACGTCATATTTTGGTGATACCTATCGTGGCAAAAATGGTATAAAAGAATAAATTACGGATTCTGTAAGTACATCGTTTTTTGTAGAATATAGAAAACCACGGTGATATTAATGTAAACAATTGCTTATAACAATAATATCGAAGCTAAATTTTAAGAAGGTAACAAGAAATACAGTAATAACAGTATGGTAGTAACATTTGGACAAGAGATAGGCCTACGTACACACATACAAAGGCTTGTTATTGTTGAGGATTGGGCGCCATGTTGAAATTGTTCATTTCTAAAATGGTAACATCAAAATTTTAATAAAAGGTCACATTTTTTTTGTAATTTTTTGATGTTTCTTATATAACACTGCTTGCTTCGATTGGAAATGATTTCTTAAACAAAATACGAAAACTATAACTAATTTCTCATTATTTATCCTAATAAGGTTTAAGACTTTTGGGAAAGGCATTTGGCGATCCGGAATCAGGTGATTCAGGTTCATCCTGAAAATAACGTTGGAGCTTTAAAAGTACATGCGTTATTTACTACCTGGGATATAATGCTAGATCTGTTGCTGGACATTCCTAAATCGCTCGTAAATGGAGTTCTCAGCTTAACAACACCGTTCGCTTCCGGAGGTTCAATAGCTGTACTTAAATCTACTGAAGAATCACTGAAAAAAGACGGTTCAATAGCGACCCACTAAGTTAGTAACACCCACCTTACTATGCTTCTACGATCAGCAATAGCAGCATCTAATTTGAGTCGATCAACCGCTACTTCCGTGACGGCCTTCTCATCGTCCATTTGTTCGTCTTCTAACAAAGGCAGTTCATCCTCTTGCACGTTACCACCGCTCCCTTTTTCCCTCTTCTCTCTTTCTCTAGCCGTGATTTCGTGACACTCGCATTTACACTCTTCTGGATTCACGTAATTATATACAACGTTGTCTTGGAGCACCGAATCCGGCACATCGATGTGTCCCCTCGAGGGCAAAGTTTGTATCCTTTTGGGAGGTTTCCTGCGTTCTGGAATCTCCTCGAAATTAATCCACTCTTTCTGTATCCCTTTGGGAGGAAGCGGCGGCGGAGTTTCACTCTCTTGCGTCAAAGAAGACCTCCGACCAGACGTGCTGATGCCCTTCTCCGCAAACTCAAACCAATTTGTATTGCTAGGTTTCCTGGGCGACTTGGCAGGCTTATCCATAGACTCGTGCTTCGGTAACGAAATCTTCAACTTCTCTATCGTTTTCGTGACGGTTTCCGTGTTGAAATTCCCCATTACCTCTTCGCAGTATTCCTCCAAGCAGCTGGGATTGATCGGAGTGGTGGATCGCGGCCGCTCAATTGGATACGTCTTCATTTCGAAAGTGGATCGTTGTTTCACTGGCACGATAGGAACGGCTGCTGATCTCTCCTGAGGAAGCGTGGTAGGTATGTACGGGAGCTCATCTTCGTACGAGTCCTGTTGCACAACCAGACCTTTACGCTCAGGTTCCAGAAAATCTAAATCTAGCTTCAACTCCAAGTCTTTCCTGCTTTTGGCAAAATCCAACTCTGAGTCCCGTTCGGACCCCGACGAGTATCGATCGTCCTCTGCTGTCGAACTTATGGTCGAAATTCTATTATTGCTTCTTTTTGGGTCGGCTCGAGGTTCTCTTTTACTCTCGACGGCGTTTTCGGGAACCTTGGGAACGACACTCGGAGGAGTTATAGCTTTCTGCGGAGGCGTGACCGGTTTTTGAGTAGGAGTGACGGCTTTCGGGGGAGGCGTCACGGCTTTTGATGGAGGAGTCACCGCTTTCGGCGGAGGCGTCGGCGCTTTCGAAGGAGGAGTGGCTGCTTTTTGAGGAGGGGTCACCGCTTTGGGAGGAGGGGCGACTTTTTCGTCGTTACTCGGAGCGTGAGGTTTCTGCTTGTCTTTGGGCAACTTGGTTGAGAAAATTTCGTTATTACTTCCTAATTTCGTTGAAAAAACTACGTTTTCGCTACTTGTACTACTTTGTCTTTTTGTTAGTTCGGGTTTGGAACTGTGCACCTTGGTTGTATTGCTTTCTATTTCTTTGGGAACCGATTCTACGATGGCTTCGACGTTTCTACAAACTTCTATAACAGTTTCTTGAGAATCTTGACTGGAAGTTTTCAAGTCTTGTAAAATGCTGCGGTCTTCGTAGTGAGTGGGAGAGTGCAGCGGAATACGAATGCTATCACCTTCTAATGGAGTTTCGTAATATTTCTTTTTGGAACTATCGTTAAATTTAAATTCTACTTTGGCAATACCTTCGATACTTGGTAGAACTTCGCTCGAACTTGTACTTTCGTGTTCAGCTTTGGATTTGTTGTCACCTTTCTTTGATTTAAATCTAGAGAATACTGATTTCTGTTTATGTTTGCTATCTATGCTTTCGGTCGATGACGGTGCTGTGGATAGTGTCGCCGATTTGTCTCGCTCTCTACTTTTCGAACGACTTCTACTACGTTCTCGTAAACTATCGCTAGCTTCTCTTAAAATACCCGTGATTGTGTTTTTTCTTCTACAGCCTGGAACCGTCGGAGATTCCGGGCTAAGTATGGTTTCTTTGCTTCGAAAAAGGGAAGCGAATGAACTTTTTCGTGACAGAGACGGTGACGGTGTTTTGCTACCGATGTTGTCTTTTAAGAAAGTTTGTCTTGGCAACTTCGGACTAGCGCTAGGTGTACTTGAAAGACTTATACCTGGCTCCACTTTAGGAGGAGGTTCTTCTTTTTGTATGGCAATGATTTCGCTGAGGTTTTGTGACGTTTTTCTAGACAAGTTCAACGTGTCCGGCTTCTGCATGCTGAATTCTGGCGTGGAACCCGAAGATTCTTCTTCCTCTTGATTGTACATGTAGTCGGGTTTTAGCTTTATTCGTATGTATTTAGGCTGATCTTCCTTTTTCACGGTGACAGGTGACGGAGTTGCTGACTTTGCCTTCGGTTTCGTGGTGACCTGATTCGTTTTCGATTGGATAGTTGCGGATTTAACCTCCCGAACTTTCGTCTTTGTGGTTGGGTTGGTGGTTGATTTGGTAGCAGCGCCTTCGCCGTCTTTATCTATAGGTAAAGGACCCTTTAAAGGTATATATATGTATTCTACGCCACTTTTCGACACAAATTTCCTAGGTAACTTGGGTGTATTATTGCTAATCCCGGATTGCGGTTCGTCTACTTTAATGGTAATATCACTTTTAACACTTTGTACACGTTTTTCTATCTTCCGGACTGGCTTCTCCGGAGGTAGCTTTTCGGCAACCGATATCCCCTCGGCCAAGACCGCCTGCGTAGGGTCTTGCTTCCTCGCTAGTAATACTTTCTCGAGGACTTCCGCCTCCATTTTGGTCCCAGTTTGCTCTGTGCTTGTCGCGGGCGCCCCTTCCGGCGGCTTAGTCCCACAGAACGACGTTTCTAGTAACATTTTATGCGGCGAAGGAGACCTCGACAGCCCCGATTGGCCTGAGATAACAGAAAGATGACTAGCGTTAGACAACCTGCTGTGTCCCGATCCTTGACTTCCGATACTAGACAAACGTGACGTTCTACCCGATATGCAAAGCAGTCCCAACTCGGAACTCTGTGAATCTTTTCTCTGATGGTGCGAGTCATCGTGCAAGCATGATGGTGACTGTGGGCGCGTTTTACCTTTTTTCTTGACCTCTTGCGGGTCTTGGAAGTCGAGCTCTTCGGTGGAGGACCGCAGGTCGAGCGCGCCCTCCTCGCGGAAGCCCAACCCCAGCTTCGCCGTGGCGGGGTCGTGGGTCTCGAAGAGCTCGCGCTCCGGCGTGCTGTCCCGGCTGTCGTGGTGCGAGGAGCTGCTGGCCCGCGAGATGTCGATCCTGGGGGTGTTCGGCACGAGGCCCAGCTTGGCCTGGGGGCTGGGCAAGGGCATGACCGCGTTCGGCGGCGTGAGCGTCGCCGCCCCCACGAGGCTGATCCCGGTGTAGATGAACGGGGGATGGTCCACGGACGCGGGCGTGTTGCTGGGTGTGGGGGTGGCGTCCTCGCGGATGCCCGGCAGCCGCACCACCGATCCCGCAGGGTTCTTGTCCTCGGGGCTCTCCAGCTGCAAGAGGCCGAGTTAGACGGGGGCACAGCGCCGGAGGCGACAATATATGCGAAGCGGGGGCATGCCGGGGTGGGGTGTCGAGGGCTAGGCTACTTGGTGATACGTACACGGGATCTCACCTCGTCAGAGAGGTCCTCGAAAGAGGCGAAGGGTGCAGGTCCCATGCGCTTCTGACGTCGATTTGCTACGCCAGAGGTACTTCCAGGCACCGACATGTCGACTACTACTGGGTTTACTGGCAAGCAACAAATGGATTACTAGGTGGCGACGTGTCTTCGGGTTAACGCCGAAACATGACTAAAATGTACAACGTTTTAACGACGAAAAATGTTTACAAGAATAACTACATAGAGAGAAGTGACCAACAACTACCACCAAACGTAAACTGGGTAAGTAGGTGAGTTTTTGAATAAAACTATTAATAAAATCAATAATTCGATCTGCTTTTGATTCAAAAGTGGGTAAATCTACCTCGTCGTGGCCACAAAGTGAACAGGACTGCAGCTGTGGTCACACTAACTTGAATGTAGTTTAAATAAATTACCTGATTGTTTAATGACAAGAGACACCTCGGTGTTTTACATTTTTATTAATTATACAACACTTCGCGTGGCATCACTTAATTTTTTCTACATCGTCCACTAGGTAGCGTGCAGAATAAACATTTCGATAAAAAAATACATCATTTCTATAAACAGACAAATAAAAATTTTATATTTAACATGATAACGAATACTACTTGTAGGGTAGTACTACAACGTCGATTTTCAGGCGCCGCGACGGATTTTTTTGGTGGGGGAATGCAGTTTCATACGTCACCGATAGGGTGCGCCTAATTGTATAACACAGGGTGGATCAATATTTTCAATTGGTCATTGACTTGGGAAAATATTGTTAAGGTATTTCATGAAGAGAAGCTACACAAATGTTTTTTAGGTCATAGTTTGCATCTTTTAATCAATAAATGTTAATAATACCTGCGATTTTTACAAGAGAAATTACTTCGTTGCAGTTAATTTAAATGCACGAGATATAAATAACAACCGGAGTAACTATTTTTATTGCATACTCGCAATGGAATTAAAAATAAATGCTTTCATTATTTAATCCATTGATTAAATGTACTTGTTGTGGGTGCGAACGGAACGAGATACGGATGTGGAGAATAAATTTATTAAATGGAAACCCGGCTGGTGGTGGTTAGTTCAAATGTAAGCGGTATCTCGTGACCCAGTTCGGCATTATATTTTTACAAAAAAAAATTGCACTGCTGGTTATTTGATGGATTGGAAATACATTGAGCTATTAATCAAACTGTGGTAGTTTGAAAACATTAATCGGGTAGTTGTTGTTCAAACAAAAGTGGCTGCCGCTTTTTATTTACCTTTTATTTTAATCTTATCGACCATTAAAACGTTTTGTTTAACTAATCAATAGTATGCTCCCTACCAATCAAAAAAGTATTTTAATGACTTCCTGAAACAGTTGGTGGAGAAAAATTAATTTCGAAATGGGTAACGCAACATTTTGTTAGCAACGTACACCATTAGAACAGTGCGGTACGCAGAATTAATATTTTAATTTTGTTAAAAGGCAAAAATCTGGTGTGCTTTGATTTTGACAGTAATAATTTTTAACAAATATAACAATTTGTACGCAATTCCGCGCTAAAAATTTTGATTTATTGCAATTATGACATTTGTTGAATATGGAAAAACTACAGAAAATGTAAAAGACATCAAAAATTAGATAAAAAAAAACCACGAGATTTAGTGAAAATACACAGAGCGTTGAATTAAGACCATATTTTCCAGTGTCTGATTAAATTTTCTTCTTTTTATTTATCGAGCGTCTGCGTACGCTATTGTATAGTAATCGGGCCCATCGGGCGACTAGCTGCTTTTATGTTTCTCGACGTTTCATGACCCCTAGAGTACGAAAACATAGGTCTTGTTTCCGTCTGTCGCCTGCCGTTTGCCCGCGTCTGTGTCGATTTTTATTAAAGAGATAATCATCTGCCAGAACTACAAGAACGATCGTTGCCAAATTTTCAATGTATAATTGAAAACATCGTGTAGATGGTAAAACGTCAACAATTTATCTGATCATCCCTACCAACAATGATATGACATCATCTCCAACTTTTACAATAGTACATGTTATTTAAATTTTCTAAAATAACATACTCCTCCACTTGTAGTTTATGAATCCGTGTTGAGTTTTTACCCCAGGCATCCAGATTTTTGTAAAAAAATCAAATGTGTATAACAACATTTTGAAATTTAACTTTGAAATTGCAAAACCGAATGCTCTGAAATCTTGCAAACGTTTTAAGGTTATTGGAAACATGGTCGTTAATAAAAATTTATCCGTTTACGAGCCCCCTAAAAACTGACGACGTCATCTCAAAATTTTGTCAAATAAATCTATCTAAAATGTGCAAATTATGATGAGTCTATACTTGTGAATTATCATTCCATTTATACTTTTTATAATTGCTTATATAGGCGACTCAAAAAATTAATGAATAAGTCAAGTTTCATCGATCAAATTAGAAACTGCAAAACCGTATGCTTTGAAATTTTGTAGACGTTTTAAAGTTATCGTAAGCATGGTAAATTTGTGATCAAAATACAATATAACTTTCTCCTATAGTCTTATAAGATAAGCAAACAATAGCTCCGCCCACGTCTCCCTCTTCATTCTAGTTGCTACTGTTAATATTGTTCAGTCTTATCATCGCAAGTGGTAGCCCCGTAGTATTTTCTTAGAGAGTATATCACTTGCTAAAATCAGCCTTAATCGATCTTAACAAGTTCTAGCCCCGCCCACCCTCCCACTTCTCATTTTAGCGAATAATTTTATTTCTGTACAAGATCCACCTTTCATTCAGAACAGATAAAATTAATTACCGGAATGGAGGCGGGTGAGTGGGAGTCGCAAATCAAATTTTATAATTTTTCTGTGAAACTGGATTTGTTTGATTGTACTTCAGGTAACTTTAGACCAATATTTTTTATTGTTGTGAACAATTTTATAATATAAAAAATGGTCGAAGGTTATTTCGACAGAACTTCACTCGATCCTGAAGTACAATAAAATATATCCAGCTTTTTCGAAAAATGATAAAATTGGTTTCGCGAATTTTATTTTTTTTATTTTAACCTCGATAAGTTACAGTAATATATATTTCGGACATGTTACCAATTTGAATAGGGCAGTGTAATACTAATAATAACAATATTGTATTTTCAAATTTTCGGGAAAATACAGTGATTTAATCAATAAAATATGTAAATTAACTCATTAATTTTTTTAATCACCCTGTATTAAGCAATTCTAAAAAATATGAAGGCAAAAGTACAGACTCACCATATTTTGCACATTTTCGATAGGATCTATTCGGCAAAATTTTGGGATGACGTTGTCAATGTTTTTGGGGGGGGGATAAACAGATATATTTTTATTAAAAATTTACCATGCTTACGACACTTTTAAAACGTCTGCAAAAATTTCGAAACATTCGGTTTTTGCAAATTCAAAATTAATTTGCAAAATGTTATACAATTTGGATTTTTTTGTCCAAAAATCTGGAAGCCTAGGGTAAAAACTCATCACGGGTAGGACTATTTTATTTTATACAATTTAAAATCCATTTGCTATGTACAATTTTGGGGGGACGTCATCACATTATTGATGGGGATGATTAGACAAAGTTTGGTTAACTTTTGCCATTCACATAATATTTACAATAAACATATACAATTTGACAACAATTGGTCTGGTAGTTTCGGAGATTATGTGTCTAACAAAAGTTGACACAGACGGCGGATAGACAGACGGGTGGAAACGGGAGACCTATATTTTCGTACTCTAGATGTCATGACACTTCCAGAAAATATAAAAGCGGTCAGTCGCCCGATGGACTCGTTTACAATACTTCCTTATCGTACGTTCGAGAAGTAAAAAGCAAAATTTTGCAGTGACGCAATTAAGTTCTTGAAGGAAAAAAAATTTTTGATTAGTGATTCACTATGCTTAAAATATTTGTAAAATTTCGAAGCATTCTGGTTTTGTAGTTCCTGAATTAAATTGTTAAATAATTTTAATTTTTTTCCAAAAATCTAAATGTCTAATAAACTACAAGTAAAAAGTTTATTATTTTGTAAAATTGAAACAAAATTTACTTTGAAAAATTTTGAGATGACGTCATCAACTTTTTGCCTGGGAAGGTTAGACAAATTTTAGTTTACGGTTTACCATATACAGTCTACAATTATTATTATTATTACTAAAACACGAGTTTGATCTTTGACATTTGTTTGATATCTGTATAAATAAATGCAAAAAACTTTGATTTGCGTAAAACACTAGTGCAGTGATATAACTTGTCCCACTCGTTCGATAATCAAATATTATATCACGTTGGAAGCCGCATGTTTGAACATTTTTGGTAGATTTTAAAACATTTTACATTGCTGTTGCAGAGTGTCAACATTACCAAGGCCAGCTTGTCATTTTTGTGTTAGCCCCGTATCGTATGTAGCGCCGCATACCGTGGCATTCCCGTTTTATAGGTAAATAATGACCCTGTTTGTATGTACCTGGGTGCGTCACCTACGGCCGTTTACGTTCGGCAAATATAATAAAAGTGTTTGTAAAAGCAGTAAAGTCTCCATGTTTTCGCAGGCCGGGCTGCTGAATAATAAATTAAATAGACCAGATTTACGACTTCTTATAATTTCGAAATTTCGGCAGCTACCGAAGCAAAAATAGCACTGGATTTTTAAGGTCACTAAAAAAAAACTGAGCTCTATTTTTTGCAACACTTAGTCGCGAAAATATAAAGGGGAATTTCCAAGCACTACTTACATTGTTTGAAATTTGCGCCTGCATGTTTCCACAAGTGTTTGTAAACCTCATTCGAATCTTTTTTCATTCATGGTTCTATCGCATCCTTGAAAAACAGACAACTCGTAAAATAAATTCGAGCGGTAAAATATACAAACACTTTTGCACGGGTGGAGCGTATCACTCACGGAGGATTTTATTATATCGGTATATTGGCTAGTAAGCAACACATGGAATTTCTTCTTAACATGTAAACTCGATTTATTTGATTTACTATTCACTTATTCAGCATCCTGGGTTCGGTTGCCAGACTGCTAAATTTCAAAAGCGGGACAATCAATAAGAAAAATACTGCTTGAAAAACGGGGCTGCGTACAAAAGCCCCCGATTTCTTTACAAGCACCTTAATACCAGTTAAGTGCAACGCTAAGTTGAAAAGTTGAAAAAAATAGTCTTGAACACATTTTTTAGGAAACATTTTCTTTTATAATTTAAACTTTTCATTGGGTACAAACTAGTAATTTGTGATTAAAGGCGGCTAATGCAAATTTTAGGTCAAATAACGACCACGTAAAACCGTTTGAGAATCTCTGTCCTCATGTACCACGTCGCCTAACCAATCCGGTTGCTAGAGCGACACGTCGTCGACCTTCGGACGACACAGGACAAAGATTAGTGTCGTTCGCTACATTATCGCGTTGCAGCGAGTCACGTACAGACGGGAATTGCGCCGACAAACGCAAAAATTCGGTCAAAACGCTCACAAACCATGCAACATAAAATCTCAGACGACATCGGCAACAACTTCAACGAAAAACTCGTCGAACTAGTTGGCAGACACAAAATCCTGTACGACTCGACGGCTGATGGCTATTCGAATTTTCAGTTGCAGGACGAAATGTGGCGGAAAATTGCGAACGAGTTAAACGAGGATGGTAATAAAAGTAAAAATAAACCTTTCGATTTATACTTTGATGTGTTAAATTTAGTTGCAGCGTGTAAACTGAAGTGGAAAAATATCAGGTCGTGTTACACGCGGTATTTGCGACAGATCGCTTCCCAGAACTGCAAGATCACACGCACTTATTATTTGGCCAAACACTTGAGATTCCTGCTGCCCTTTTGCAAGCCCAGTGAGTGAACTCAGGCGGAAACCACGTACCTATGGAATAAAATCGATGATTTAAGAATCCAACAAGTTGATTCCATTTTAAAAAATGCGTGTGACGTGACAAATATTCATGACGTCATAATAAATAACAGCGACAAAAACACTATTAAGAAAACTAACTCCATTAGTAAATTGTTGATTTTATTTCATAAGTAGTTTTCACGCTGTACCCTTATGATAACACACTATGTTACACTTATGAAAATCTTTCTAGACACTAGACAAACGGTTGAGCTATACTCACAAGAAGATATCACTAATGCGGTAATACAACATGAAAATCAGGAATTCGACGCACTTGAAGCCATCACTAAGTGTGAGCCAAACGATGAAGACGAAGCTAGTGGAAATATGGAATTGGACGCGAATTCGGACGAAGACAACTTACTAGAGAAACGACTAATCAACGAAGAAGTACACACAAACAAACGACAAACATGGGAAACAAATAGCGTCTACGAAATATGTAAAAAGAACAAAGTTTGTGAAAATACTGATGAAGCAGAACTAAATTTCTTCAGAAGTTTATTGCCTGACATTCGTAAAATGAATGGAAAACAACGAAACCAGTTAAAAATTGCGGTATTAAATGCCATAGACACTATTTTGTACAGTGATGACGCCTAACTAGGAAAATCGTTTGTTTTTCCGAAAAACTTTTTTTTTTGTAATACCTACTTATTTTAGCTTGCACCTGTTGTTTTCCTTTTCACGTGGCTGATAATAGATTATGTAAATCGAATTCTTAAAATAAACCTTTTTCGAGTTTAGTAAACTGGTTACGGAATTTCATTTCCAAAGATTAACAAAGCACTCGTCAGGTGATGTAATGAAAATTGATTAACTTGCACAACCTCCGCTCTATAAATACATCAGTCCCAACTGCTTTACAGTTGGCTTAGGTTTTGTTGTTGTGTGACATTTGTCTAAACTTAGTTGTTAAAATGAGCTTTATTGTGCAAAGGAAAATTAACTTTTAACACTGACAAAAAAATATACTCACATGACCTGAAACTTGGATGATGTTAGTGGTCACTGTACCTTAGTCATTCTTTCAATATGCAGAAATAGCAACATTTTTGAAATTCTGGCAATGTTGCTACTGGTTACCATAACGTTTACAAGCTAGGGAAAATATTTACCAAAACTAACCTCTCGGTCCGTATAAAAATACGACTTTAAAAAAAAGCAGGTGTAACAAAACGAAAAATTTATTTAATTTTCTACATTTTTCAAGGATAATATAAACAGACAGTTCCGAAAGTCACCTTACGTATTTACACGGTAGCTCAAAAAAGCGTTACATTTTATGTACAATTGTTTACTCTTAGAGTTTATCAAGCGACGCCTACAAACTAATACCAATCACAAAAAATATTTTCGGCATATACTCAACATTATCAACCACTTTAAACTTTGAGGTGATCTCTGAAAATTTTGTAACAGTTCTCGTATACAGTAGGAGTTAAATGCAAAAATATATAATCAATAGTGAAAATGCATCACCACAATTACTTAGTAAAATAAAAAGTCACACTAACAGCGAAACTAACATTGTATTTTAATAGTAGATATAAGTATGTACAACTTTAAAAAAGAAAGTTTAGACCAATGGTAGCAGTTATCAACACAGTCAAAGTCAAATACTATGTACAATATAAAATATTATCACCAACTGTTAATAATTTCTTAGTTTTTTTCATAACAATAAGTACAGTGGCTTAAAGTAGCGAATCTATATGTACATGAATTAGATAATGATCAGTTAAACTTAGCAATATTTAATTAAATCGTGAGTCACTGCATTGTTGCTACGTTGTTCATGCTGCCACTTATATGTGCGGAGCTACCTAACGTGGAAGACATATCTTGATAGCTAAATTGAGGAAAATAAGGCTCTTCTTGTATGGCACCCAATGGACCTGAATTATCTGGCGGCGTTAATTCTACACTTTCGCCGGTGAATTCCGAATCGAAATATCTGGTGTCCGTATCACTTGTAACTTGCGGTTTGAATGGTGGCACTATCTGAAAACCACAACTTTTCTCAATGCGTGTACATATAACGAAATTTTCGACACCGTTATCGTTATATTGCGATATATACCTTTTTCTGTTCTAGATCCCTCCAGTTGATACAACTAAAGAAAGGGTGTGCCATAATTTGTCTGGCGTCGTCTGGGCCTCCTCCCAGTCGTCGCGCTGGATCTTTGATTAACAAACCTCCTAATAAATCTCGCGCGTCGGAACTGAGGTTCCTTGGAAATTTCACTTCTTCCATGAGGATTAAGGTGAAGAGAACGTCGTGGTCTCGGTTATAGAAAGGTAAACGACCACACATCTGGAGAACAGAGAAGATATATTGCCTCTTTTGTTCAAGTTCAGACACATTAAAGGCGCGAATTACAAAGTTGCCGGAAAGATTCTCACAAAGATTGTAGGTTTTAATTTTCTGTGAATGTCAGACACAGTCCCGAGGTCATACATTTTAGATGTTTTCCGATACAATACGGAAGGACTTAACACGCTAATTGTGCTTAAACATTATTTTCGCATTAAAGATGTCAGATCTAGTAAGATCGTCTCTAAAAAATAAGTTCTAGAGTAATACACTAATTAACGAATGAAATACCTACTTATTAAAATTTGTTTGAAAAAGTTTAATTAACGGTTGTTTGTTAGTCTCAAAGTAACAAAAAGTTTAATAAGATGGAAAGTTCCTGAGCAACCAAAGTTTACATAGTTTTAAGCGTTCGAAGTTCGTAGAATCTCGGAACGCAAATAGGTTTTATTAATTAAGGAATTATAAGACACCTGCAGAAAGTTTGTGGAATCTAGGTGGAGATTTTGCGAAAAGAATTTACTTATTTAAATAAATAATTAGGCATATGGAGTTCAAATCTAAAAGGTTTTGCATTTTAGTTTAATAATAAACTACCCAAATTAAAAAAAAAAAAGAAATTAGGTTTCAATTAATGTTTTCTTTGACAGGTCAAATAATTTTGACAAAGTTACTACAACATATACCGGATGTCCCAGTTTATGAATTACATTTATTTAAAAAAAATGACGACTACGTTTTTGTTTCAAATGGGTTGACATGTTTGTTACATATGTTAAATAGAATTTATGGCTTTTTTCAATGATATATGACTTAATATGTAATTTTTAATGCTTAAAGAAATTTTTAAATGGCGGCACCACTAACAAAATATGAATATCGATTTTACAATTAAGAGAAGCCGCTACGTTAGGCTCTTACGGTGTTGTCAATGTATTTTTATAATGTAATATCTCCATTATTAACACACCTATGGTTATGAAATTTTAAAAGTAACTTGTCCACAACTTTTACTACATAACTGCGAGGGCAGTTTTTTTTTTAAACAATTTATTATCATATATTTTTTAACTTTTGTTGAAATTTTTGCATCAGGTATTTAAAAAAAAAAAATATTTCAGTTATTTATGGAAATTTTGGAATGGGGTTGTCACCACTGTTTTCAACTTGCAAAATTTTAGAAATCGTACTATGTCTATTTTTGACTTTATTTGTTGGGACTGAGATATAGTAAAAATAAAAGTTAGCAACTTCTAACACAAGTTTTTTTTTACTATGTATGGTTTCTCACAAAAAAATCGACGATATACATATCTGGTATGACTTCTGGAGTTTTGTAAGCTGAAAATCATGTTGAAAACCGTAGTCTGAAATTTCCTTTAATATATAATTGAGATATTGATTTTTAAAAATACGTTATGCAAAAATTTCACTAAAATTAAAAGAAAAATATGATCACAAATTGTTTTTAACAAAATTTCCCTTGCGTTATGTAAAGAAAGTTATGGACAACATATATTTAAAATTTCAAAAACTAATGTCTGTTAATAACGGAGATATTACACTCTGAAAATATACCGAAAATTCCACTCAGAAAATTTAAGTTCTGCCCCTCGGTCTGACAACGAATGAAAAATTCATTACAATTGAGATTGCGGCGGGTGGGTGGGGCTTATTTTTTTGCCTTAACATGTATAGTTTCATGTAGAGAAGTAAGCATTTTGAAATATCTTCCGCCCTTCGGCTCACAACGAATAAAAACGTTATTACAATTGAAATGAAGGAAGGGGGGCGGGGTTTTCTATTTTGCCCTTTTTTTCTTAATACCTTATATGTACGTATGTACTTTTCTTTCCACGACAAGAAACTGAAAACATGTTTAAAAGGGTAAATTTGTAGAAAAGTGTATGGGATAAATTTTACCATTTTAAACATGTTTTCAGTTTCTTGTTATGGAGAAAAAATAATATATATTAAGAAAAAAAAAAAAAAAAAGCAAAACAAGCCCCACCCACCCACCCTATCTCAATTGTGGGGATTTTTCTTTGTTCGTCGTTAGTCAAGGGGGGCGGAGCTTAAATGCAAAATCCGCATTACCATGCGCATTCAGTGATCGTGTTGCTCAGAGAAAACTATATGTATTAAGTAAAAAAAAAGATAAGCCCCACCCATCTGTCTGGATCTCAATCGTGATGAATTTTCCATTCGTTGTCAGATTGAGGGGCGGAGCGTATTTACAAAATCCACATTTCCTGTTTTAAACACGTTTTAAGATACTTGCTGCGAAAAGAAGACTACGAATATTAAGAAAAAAAGGCAAAATATATATCAAAATGTATATATATTCATATTCCACTCTAATACTTCAGTTATTTGAAAAGATTAAAATTTGAAATTTGGAAAAATTAACATGAATATATTTTTAGTGTCAAATCCCATTTAGTTTTTCCGGAAATCACTTTAATTTCTTTTTCAGTTCTAACTGCTATGAATTTTTTAATAAAACGCTCTTAAAAAAATTAAATTGTGGAATCGGTTACGTTGAAATATTTTAATTATTTGAAAAAGCAAAATTTCGAAAAAACAAATTTTCAAGTGTTTCAAATAGTATATTTTTCATTTAGTAGTGACATAAAAAACAAATTATAATGAGGATTTTCCAGCAAAACAAATTTTAAGCCGCATGAATTTTGTACCCTTGGTGTTGATATTTGAAAATAAAAAAACTGTTGTCATTTCTGAAAAACCAAGAACGATTTAATGGTAATAGTATATTCCTTTTATAGATTTCTTTATGTTAGTTAATTGTTTTAAATTGCAAAGTTCTGTCTCTTCAAATAATTGAGACCTCAAAGTAAATCAGGTAAACTGGGACACCCGGTATACTTGCTTTTGGAAAATAAAAGTCATTTATATCACTTTTTATTTAATTTTAAGTAAAATAAATTAAGGGCAAAGTTAAGTTTCAAATGTTAAGGAATACTTTCGTAATAAAAATCTGAGATTGTTCAATGTAACACTAAAAATAATACATAAATATTACTGTGCTCCCATTATTTCAAGAAAATTCCGTGCTTTCCATAAAATGTGTATTTAATCTTATTTTTGGGATGACGTGACATTGATGTTCCCATTTTCTGAGAATCTGAAGAAATAAATTTTATTAATATTCTGCAATCTATAAATCAAAATTGGTGTCTTGACGTAACGTCAACAAAATATGTTACTTAATGTTTGAAATAAACAGTAAAATTTGATGGCCTAAACTTATTAAAAATTTATTTTAGGATGACCCGTATACGTAAGGTAAAAATAGAAGTGAATTGTTAAATCGCTACATTTTGAAACAACGATTTTTTTAGAGAAAACAAATTGACAAAAATTTCATTCATTTTCACTACAAGCGATAATATTAAAGTATACCTAAAATTTCAAAGTGATCGTTTCGGTAGTTCTGGATACTGTACGTAATAAAATCACCAAGCAGAAACATGAAACCGGCATTTTCGTATTCTACAAGGTTTGAAATGGCAAGCAAATATGAAATTACGCACTTAAAATGACACTATCTTTTTTTTTAGTTAACGCTGGAGAAGAAGTAATTAATATTGTATTAAAATACAATTATATAAATATTATATGTAACAAGTTTTATAAACGCTTCTTTAGTCACGGGTTTATTTAAGCACGAGCGGGATGAGTGTTTAAAAATCGAGTGTCTGGAGAAGTTTATTAACCTGTTACACACTACTTTTTCTACGACTTCAAATTAAAACCATAATTTTCAATAATGTTTACATCTATGTTCATCCACATGCATTAAACAATGCACCTATTCGAAGCCAACTAGATTTCATAGGTACTCTTTCTAGCCACGTCGTGTTTAATGCACACGAAAACTGCCGAACGCACTCAAGATGTGACTAATGAGCCCGAACACATCTTCGACCTGTATTTAAAAAGCCACGGATCATGAAACTATGGTTAAGACATCGTTTAGCGCCGTGTATTTACGTACGCTAAACAAGGTTTTAGACACGGAAGTGTAAAAAATAATTTATTTCTCTATTTATAACAAATTTTGAGACATGATTTTTTTTAACGTCGTTAATAAATATCGTAAAAGGATGTTTTAAACTACAGTTTTCCTTCCAAAATATACATATGCGTTATACCGTAAGCAATAAAAAACAAAATCAAAGACAACCATGAATTTATGAAGATTTGTCTTCAAAAATCCACGGCCTCAAAATGACCCTGGTGCAATAATGCAGTTCAAAAGTAAATTTTAACGCAATTAATGACCGAAAAAAGAACGTCTAGCAAGTCACGAAATGTATTTTTGGAATAATCATGTTGACATTGCAGCTATTTGACACTTTATTTGACTCTTACTGTCAAACCGAACAAGGCCCGCGTTGGTGTTGCCAACGTAATTTTTTTAGCACTAAATTTCAATGGTTGCTAGACGACTTTTTTTTAACTTTTTAAAAATAAATTTCATTGCCTACTAGATGACTTTTTCCTCGATTGTATGGTATTCTTGGTGTAACAACATTAAGTTACATTTTTATTTGAAGGTACGATTAACCACAATTATAGCAAAAGCCCCAGTTAAAAAAATTACGAGTTTTTTTTTTTTAATAAAATTATTAGATTTCCTTTTATTGATCTGCGTTTCCTTAAAATCTTTTCTTTTTCGTTTCTGACTTCTTTTGGTTTGAAAAATTAAACTAGTTCGTTCAAAATCTCTAAAAGTTTTAATCATGTATACACGTACTCAAGAAATTGTACGTAGTATACACGTACATTTTTTAATTTTCAACAGCCTTGCTGTCATTTTTTAATAATGTACACCAAATTATATTTTTGTCAAAAAAATGTATTTGTTTTATACTGCCATATTTGCGAAAAAAAAAAAAAAAACTAGTAGGCCGGACAATAAAAATAAATGTTTTCTTCAAAACCTGAGTAATTTACGTGTATTGTATTTAAGGAATGTTCATTTTATAAAGCGGACACTGAAAAATTGCTACTAATTTGAGTACTTTGGGCTAATTTAATTTTTTTTTATAAAAATGTTTAATAATGTTATATGAAATAATTATTCTTATTATCAATCAATTATATACAGAAACTATAAAATTTTCTAACTATTGCGCGAATACCGCGAATCGCTGTTTGCACAGGTTTGTTTGTGATTTTCTTCGTAGCAGGAGGCCACAATTTTTTAAATTCTCCAAGTCATGATGCTGTTCGGCCATCTTTTCTTAACACTGCTTTCATATTTGCCCATTATCCCTCAACTGAACGAAGCTCAGGACAGTTGGGTGGTTTATCTTCCTTTTTTAAAAACTGTCCATTATTGGCATTAAGAAGCTCCTGAGTGGCACCAGCGTAGTGAACCGAAGCCAAATTTGGCCAAAACGATGGAGGGATATGATGTTTGCGATAAACAGGCGATAATCGCGTTTTTATACATTCTTTCCTGTAATCATCACCCCCAATTATTCCAATCGTAAAAAAAAACTAAAAGCTTTTTAGCTCACAAGAACAAATGGCTTGCCATACTAAGACTTTTTTCCCAAACTTTTCAATTTTTTTTTGTTTTCTTGTCATCGAGGACATCTTCCCCTACGATTGCATTATAAAACTAGGGGCCGGGTAGTGTATTGCAGTCCATTTTAACCTTCGTTTCGTTGTCCATCAAAACCCAACGATTTTTGTTCCTGGCCAAAATTGTTTATAACTTCCCGCTTTTTTTTTGAAACTGTATGCGCTGCTTTTCGCTTCTTTTTGGGGTTTTTTGCTTTAATACGTTCTAATGTTATTCCGAGTCTTTATATTTTGTACAGTACCTACGGTAACACCTTGCTTCTTCGGTATTTCCCCCACAGACATACATTTCGTTAATTTTAGCAGCTTAATGATGTTTTCCTCAATATTTTCGTGAAGCAGACCTTTTCTCGGTCTGGATTTGAGCAAATCTTCTAAAGTATTAAACGCCCCAAACTTTTTGATCATTTGGAACACTGCTGATTTTGGACATTTAGTTATTTTAGCCAGTCCCCTCAAAGGAAATTTTTCGTAGCATCACTTTTGCAAAAATAATTTTCTTGCCCCAATTGCGATTCGCTTCATTTTAAAAAGAAAAAACGTTATTTTGAAAACAAAAATGGCATTTAATAGATATAACTTCAAGCTTTCATATATATTAATTAGAATAATTTAGATTAAAAATTAGAAAATTGGCGTTACTTTAAAGGTGTCCGTTTAATAAAATGAACACTCCTTATCACCTACGATATTTTCAAATATGATTTTCGGGCAACTTTTAATTTTAGTCGCCAAATAGAACGAAAAAACAATAGTGATCTTACCATTTCGTACATTACAACTCCTATTCCCCACCAATCAACCGCTCTTCCGTAATCGTTGTCTTCTAAAACCTCCGGCGCTAAATATTCCGGGGTGCCACAAAACGTCTTCGTGGTCCTTCCATACGTGATATCCTCCTTACACAAACCAAAGTCCGCAATTTTTATATGTCCATCCTTATCCAAAAGCAAATTTTCTAATTTTAGATCCCTATAAATAATATTTTGCGAATGCAGGTAAGCCAAAGCGGAAATAATTTCTGCCCCATAAAACCTCGTCCTATCTTCTGAAAAAACTCTCTCCCTCGATAAATGAAAGAATAATTCACCGCCGTTAACGTACTCCATCACGAAACAAAGACGGTCGTTGGTTTGGAAAGAATATTTTAACGACTGCAAACGAAAGCGCCATTACACGAATTACTCCGCTTCCAACTTACCGTTAAAAACGGATGATTCGTTTTCCTTAAAACCCTATTTTCCGTCTGCGTATGAGCAACTTCATCTTTTTGTATAATTATCTCCTTTTTTAAAATTTTAATAGCGTATAAGCGTCCCGTCGCCTTCTCTCTACACAAGATCACTTTCCCAAAAGTCCCCTTCCCTAACACTTTAAGAAACTCGAAACTCTCCAGAGTCACTTTTCTTTTGCCCGTTGATTTTGAAATTGATGTACCTTGTAATGAGAATTTCTCACATAAATCTTCCATGTTACCGACTTCAGTGTTGGGAAGATTCATTTCGACATCTTCGCAATCAACGCTTAGTCGTTCTGAAACACCCTTGATTGCCGCCACCCACTCCTCTCTGTAAAATTTTAATAAGTGCTAAATTCTTTAGTTACGCTAGGGTTACCTCTCGCGTTCCGTTTCGACGTGGAACATCCTTTCTATGACAGTCGTCCACTGAAGACCTCGGATTATGAAGGTGTAGGGTTTAGGCCTATCGGTCGACATGATTTGACAGCCTTTAACGGTGAAGTTGTTTAAGGGGTCATTCATGGAGGTTTCGTCAGGCTTGTTTTTAAAACCGACCAAGGAACCATTGTCGAGTAGCACGAAGTAACGGGAACGCCAATTTTTTATGTGTTCTCCTCTTTTGAATAGCCAGCCTTCCTTCACGATGTTACATTTGTTGAACTCGGGCATCAACGTGCCTGAGCCTGACTCGTTCATTGTGGAGCTAATCACACTACAATAAAAACCACCATGTTACTCTTACGACAGGAATTAAACTTATCCGGCTTGACAATCAGTTTTAAGTGTCAGAAGTTAACATTATTTTAAATATGGATGAGTTCGGTTTACGTCATCTTTATGCAATATTTTTCGCAGAATCGAGATGGTAAATAAATTGAGAGTGAGCATTGCAGCATTCATTTCTAAGAGTGTGCAAACAATAGATGCTGAATTTCGCTACTAGTTGAAACAAGTAGCGCTGAATTAAACAATTAAAAGTTTTGATTAAAATGTACTGTGTAACGAATGGAAGTGAACCTTTTTAACGCAAACTCGGATATTCTGCTTGAATTGAAATGAAAGGAAAACAAACGAATAAAGGCTATTGTGTTGTACACAAATTAACTTGCACGGATAAAAAAATAAACAATATGTTGCGTACTGTATCTACGTATTTTTTTAATACGCTTTTTGCTGGCTTTCTTTATAAAGTAAACAAACATTTCCTTTTGTATGTGGAGTTACTGATTTTGGCTTAACACATTCATTCGGGGTTATTCATACATCCGGGAAAAACATTTTTAGAAGAAATTTGGTTTAAAATACTCGTCTGAGTCATTTTACTTAGACGTTAATTATTCGTTACTCCCGATTTTTGTATACTTTTTAAAGAGGTTTAAAAGCTAACAGGTTTTCACAAAACGGAAACTACAATAACATACACATTCTTTCTGATTGTGTAGTCTTATCTTGTTGAAAATACATATTTGTTTTTACATAAAATTTCAAACAAATTAGTAAAAAATACCAGGTATTTTTTTATTTGTGGTCTAGTTAAATAAGAATTTGTTGACGGGAGAAAAGTAGGTCGTAACTTGACACTTTAATTTTATTTAGCACGTAATTCACTTTGTTAAAAATGTGAATTATTGTGATGAATTCGCAACTTCAAAACAACTTGAATATGGATTTAAAATGATTTATTTATGTTAAGTAACATATTTAACTAAATTTACAATTGCTGGAACTGTTGGCCCCTAGCTTCGTTACATAAATTGACTCAGCGTTGCGCATTTTCACTTTTAAGTCTTCAATTGGATCCACTGGTTGTTCAAAAATAGTATTTTTCAAAATCAGGAAAAAGAAATAATCTAACGGCGTCAAATCAGGTGATCGTGGTGGATAAATATGTTGTGTGAGCTGTTGCGCCGTCATGCTGACAATATCTATTCTGCAATTCTGCAGAATCAAGGTGGTCAATAAATTCCTGCAACATGTTCTAATATCTCGCAGCTGCAACAGACTCCTCGAACAAATAATACTTTTCGAGAAATGGCACACTAAACTCCAATTTTTTGTACATGTAATGGCGTTTTTTCAACATAATGAGGATTTTCTGCCCCCTTTTCATAATCGGGAAGTTTAAGTCCTTGAAACACCTTTTTGATAATTTTCTGACACGTTCAACTTGACATAACTTGAAACGACGGACATTTTCAATAACCTCGGGATTTCGTTTGGTTAATGTGCGACTTCCTGATTTCCTCTTAATGCTAATTTTATTACATAACTAAGAGTCCTTATGTAGTCTTATAAAAGACTGATTTTTGTCAAAAATATCAAAAAAATACGCGAAACAACGGATTTGCAAAAATGAAAATGCACGATTTCGGTTATTAAGACGCGAGATTATAGGCAACGCACCACAATACAAGTTGTATGTTCCAAGAGACGACCTACGTAATTTGGTGACATAAGGGGCAGTGAGAACTTGACCACAAATCAAAAAAATCACTTGGTGCTAACTATCATACGTACATACAACAATTAGAAAAAATATTTGCCTTCACAAGTAATTCTTGTATCACTATACATATTTGTAAAGGTATTCGGAGATTTTTTTTCGGCTTCATAGTAACTGATAACACAGGAAACGGCGTCTTTTTCAAATACACATAGCAAATTTGATTAGTTTGCGGAAAGTAAAAGGAAACTCTACAAAAAAAGGATTATTTAGATTGTAATAAAGCCTTTCTGAATTATTGAGAGCAATAAAAATACGATCAAAGACAGTCATGGATTTTTGAAGTTTCGTTGTCAGTTGAAAATGTAATTATCAAAGACAAACTTTAAAAAATCTATAGTGTCTGTGATGGTGTTTTTTATTGATGTTTCGGTAAAAAAAAAAAATATTTTGCGTGACTACAGAAGAAATGGCGTTAAGATCCTTGGTACCATATTGTAAAGATTTCGGTTTTTTAACAATTAATATTGCGAAAGTTAAAAATATTACACCACTATAATGTTAGAGATAGTGTTGCAAAAATAGTCAAATACGAGTTTACAGCTGATGTAAATCTCAACAACAAGAGCGGAAGAATTACATCATTTTAAAATAAACACGACAGTGATGGGTAGACACAAATGAAATATTATTACGGTTACAGAAAGTTACAAAATAAATATCAAACAATAACATTTTGCCAAAATGATTCCAAAAATTATCTAGTAAAAACAGAAAAAGGTGTACATACGGTTATATCGGGCCTGGTTGCACCAAAACAAGCAATGTTTACAATCCACAATCTTACGTCACAGGAAAAAATAGAAAAACAGTACTATTTACAACGTAAACATGATTAGATTTGAGTGATGATCTGTTCACGAGGTGTATACATGTAAAAGTAAACCTATTGTTTGAGTACCCATAAATGGTGGCAATGCTTTTATGAATGAAACCGTGTGGCTGCACCAAATTCGGCAACGGAAACAACAGAATAATTGTTGCACAAATGACAATGGGATTCTTCGTCAAAGCAACAATGTTGCACGTTATCACAAGAAAATAATTATTAATTACTGATACAGTGTATTTTGACATTACCCGATTCAGGGACATGTGACGTAATTTTCATATTACGACATCCCAATCAAAAATCAAAACAAAGAGAGGATTTTCGCGATTAGAGAAAAAAATGATTGAAAGGTATTGTCTGGAGAATTCGCCCGACACTCCTGACATGAGACGAGTTATTAAAGAGAGGAAATGACAGTCGGTGTTTTCGCAAACCTTGAATTAGGTTAGGATGAAATGCCTTTGGAAATGCGGCATCCGGACGATATTACGTGGTTTCTATCGATTTTATTACAGTAAGTCGGGGGTTTAAGTGCGAGAATCGGAGTAAGTGGGTTAAGTATTGGATTCTGTGTACGAAATTCGTTAATAACGTTATATTTTAGACTCACCTCTATTAAAGTCTGTTCAACTCAAAACCGACAAAAACCACTGGCACGATTAAGAGCACAACGATTTACCATTTTTGTTCACGTGAAATTGTATTATTGTTAATTAGCTTTTTTCAAGTTACAAAAATACGCATGAATTTACAAGGACGTGTTTTGACGCAGATATTTTTGTCAAATCCTGGTTCATTAAACTGCCACTGCACTGCTTCTATCGTTGTCGTTGGTTGCCTTGTTTTGTTGTTGGCCGCGTGGGTCGTTACTACCACCGGCGGGCTTTTTGAAATATTTGAATCGAATAAACATTTCATTCGTTGTTTGACTATCCCGAAAGATGTACATTTTTTCGATAGAGATAATTCAACAGAGTTTGGGCGTTTGAATGTCTTCTCACAAAGTTCATCAAATTTAAAAATTTATAACTCCATTTTGAGATATACGCGGAATATATGACATGGTTTCGATCTAGTCGTAGATTTTGTATGCGTTTGACTAGATAAGATTGTAAAATAGTATATTTTTACTTGCCAAGCGTACGCTAGTTAATACAGGCGAATGACTAATTTCAGATTTTCTCGACGATTCATGCCTCCTAGAGTATAAAAAAATAGGTCACCTGTTTCCGTCTGTCTATGGTCTGCCTGTAGTTTGTGTACCTATTTGTGTCGATAATAAACAAATAACTACTCGACTGATTAGCGTGAAATTTTACGTGTATATATTTTAGGAATATCATGTAAATGGTAAACTGCTAAGGATAATTTGATAACTTATGAAAAAATAAGATTCACAAAATCAAATTTTGTAATCTGTTTAAGAAATTGCATTTGCCTGATTGTGTTTCAGGAATCAGGAGAGAGGAAAGTTTTATATAAATAACGTTAGATAAAATTTCTTAAATAGGTACTAATTTTACAAGCGTTATAGATTATTGTTTTCACCTTGTGACCTTGCTTATTCAAGCTTGGAAAGTTCTAAAAATCTTTAATAAGGTATCTAAAAATAAAGAGAGAGAATGTTTCAGTTTAGCGCCGCCCTTATCGCACTCGGCTCTCTTCGTTCGGATGCCGACAGAAATATGTGGTGATGGAAGCTGCAGGTAGAGTATAGATTAGGCAGTAATTATTTAGCATAGAAAACCCTACAAGGGAGGATATTCTATGGTATTTATTAGTCTAGTACTAAGTAGTACGAGAAGATGATATATTATTATATTAAACTTATAAAATAAGCAATCCAATGAAACCCAATTAATTCGGCAGAATATTTTTCTGTTTTTTAAGACAGAACTTCCTACATATTTGTATCCATATTTCAGTAACAAATTTTTAATTTCTTTTTTTTTAAGATGGCATCATGGATCTTAAGTGTAGCATCGGAATTTCAGAGAAATAGGCAGGTTTATACTTGAAGTTTTTTAAATTATTTGTACAAGTAGTTCTAAACAATTAATAGTATGTTATGTAACACGTTTTATAAACGCTTCTTCAGATACTAGTTTATTTAGGCGTGAGCGGAGCGAGTATTTAAAAAATGAGTATTTAGAGAAGTTTATAAATACGAGTATGTTACATTTTTTCGACTTTCTGGTAGGGATGATTAAAAAAGTAGATGTTTTATAAAACCTAAATCAGTGTTAGTATTTGTTGGGTAATGATAAACGGAAAAATGCAGGTGTGCTTTACACATACTTAATAAACAAGTCGTCGGCAGATGTACTATACTATAATTCCGACCTGACCTGTTTTTGAGTTAATTTTGAGATCCCGGTTTTTTTTTTTGAAAAATTTCAAACAATCTTGAGGTTCTAGGTATTCCTATTTGGAAAGAATTTCAAAGTGCTTTGGAGCCTCTAGTATAATAATGGTAGTAGCCCGAGCCGCCCGCTCTCTCTTTTCTCTAGAATATGTTGTGATAACCCAGACATCCCGTCTTAAATTGACATGTAAAAAAAATTGAAACCGCCCGAAAAATTTAAAATTTTAAAATTTGGCCTTGGCTGTGATCCTCTAATAAAGTGGGAACCCTACGTTGTGTTTTTGAAAAATGGCGGAATGCGTTCAGATGCAAGTGGTGGACCCCAAGGTTGGAAAATTACCGCTAAATAAAACACAAAATTTATGGAGGACACAAAATTAGTTATTCCTCCACTGACAAAAAAAAGAAAAAAAAGCTGCGTGCGATTGTGACTCGTGACTTGCCCGAATTGCAATCGCTGTTCAGCTCCAAAAAAAAACTTTGAATGACTTGGAATAAAATCAAATTAAACGTTCTGAATCAAAGCAAATATTTGAATATCACAAATTTAATAAAAACAAATAAAAACCTGAATGCAAATACACAAGTTATTAGGCATCTTTTGTGCAGATGACGCGATGAGCCTCGCCAGCCCGACTGGGAACCGCGCACTCCACTTCTGCCACGTATTTCGGTGTTATTTACCTCAATTCCGTTTTAAATGTTCAATTTCTTATAACTCGGATATTAACGACAACTGAATAGGTGTTAAAGTTTCAAAATTACAATAAATAACATTCAAATTCGCTATACAATTTGTGGAATTTTAAACAACAAATAAAATTGGGCATCAGATAATTTATACGATGAAAACATTCATCAACAAAATATTTACACAAAAAAAAACCAGCAAAGATTTATGAAAACAAAAGATACGGTGTGAAATAAACTTGTGCAAATAAAAATATTACGTGAGGTTAAAACTGCAGAGCATTAAAGTTTACGTTCAATTTAAATTATACAATAAGGAAAATTACTGAACTTAAAATTGTGAGATAGAGAAAAATTGTTTGAGGTGAAAATTGCAAAGCTAACAAATTTACATGAAAGTAATACTTGCCACACTTAATCAACGATTCAAACAAAAAGTTTACATTATGTTAAATTATGTCTTGATCCAAGTAATTGGTTACTTAAAACAATTAACTTTGAGTGTTTATCGTGAACTAGTTACCCCAACAAAACACATAATAAATAAACTCAAAAATATCCAGTCATCGTTGCGAGGAATAAGCGTCTCGGTGAAGTAATCTTTAACGTTGCGAGGAAATGCCTCGGTGATGTAAGCAATCTTTAACGTTGCGAGGAAATACCCCTATGATGTAATGATGATCACGACGCTAATAACGATGATAACTTCCCAAGGGAGGAAATTATTTTAACCCCCTGCCAGTTCACAATATAATGAATTTTGTTAATTTAACTCCAGTAAATAAACTATAAGTAATCTTGTGTGAAGAATTAAGAAGTGTTGTAATGTAACACTTACGTATTAGCATCTAGAAAAACTTATTCGTGACTTGTAAACAAAGGTTATCCTGACTAAGTGAATTTCATGAAATCTCCTTGTCTGTCTAAGCAAATTAATGTCTGTTAAATTGTGTTAGAACCAGTTAAGGATTAAAATCCTAACCTGATCGGTGAACTAACCACAATAAAACAAAATTATAGCACGTGTCCGCGTTGGTCGAATACTAGTACGAGAAGATGGTAGCGTAGTTGGTGAAATAGCAATTGACCTAAGTTAGCACCAATGAATCGAATGCTCAGTCAGTAGATTCTGAGGAGGTGATAAAAGGTTAAATTAAAAAAAAAATAGAAGAAATATGTTATAAGAACAAGAGTAAAAAGTGGCCTGATTTGTTAATGTCTAAGTACTATTTTTTATTAAACTAAGTGGTTTAAAAATGTCGAGTCAAAATTCAATTCAAAGCTGGTGGCTCTTCAGCTTTGTAAGATTGTCATTTTAAAACCATTTTTTTAATACATAATGTATATGTTCTGGTTGAATATATAGGAAAACAAGTAGTAAATGTAGTAAATTGGGTGAAAGTAATTTAGATATTTATTTGTCAACAATGTTAAGAATTAATTATTTCGCATGTCGTTTTTCCTTTTTTTTGAACATTTTGATCTGAGAAACTTTATTAAAAAGTTTAGGAAGTTTTTAAGCAGAACTTTCTACATATTTTCCAATTTTCAGTAACAGCTTTTTAATTTTTTTGTTTTTTAAGATGATGGATTTTTGGTAGGTCTGATTAAAAATATTCATTTTAATAATGCGACGTAAAACAAATCCTAACTGCAGCATCGGAATTTCAAAGAAATGGACAGCTTTTGACTTGAAGTTTTTAAAATTATTTGTACAAGTACTTCTAAATAATTGATAGTATACATATTATATAACAAGTTTTATAAACGCCTTGAATTTATTTAGACACGAGCGGGGCGAGTGTTTAAAGAACGAGTGTCTAGAAAAATGTCTTCATTTTCAGTGATGTTTGGATCCATTTTAAACAATCCACTTTATTTGAGTGAATAAATGTCAAACTAACTGGATTTCAGAGTGTTTTTAGCCAAAGCCTGTTTAATAAACACGAAAATTGCCGAAGACACTCAAGATGTGACAATATCTTCCTAAAATTGTAATACCATCAACGATTAGTGTTATATTTCTGGCGTGTTTTTCTTTTTTTTCGATTTTCTGGAAAGGATGATTAAAAAAGTAGATGTTTTCTAATACCTCTAAATACACATGGAACAAGTTGTCGGCAGGTGTACAGTCACGGACAGTGAATTTCGTCCACACAATTCACGCGAATGCACAAAAAATTCACTGTAGTTGGTGCTTTATTGTCATGATGACTGACGTAAGCATTGTCAAATTTAATTTAGCTTCGAACCTGCCATCGATTAGTTATTTTAATGAAGGTAAACTAATATCCCTTTTCCAAGACGGGATGTCGCTACACTTTTGGGGTTATCGCGGACTAGTGTTAGTTATCGTATAAAAAAATGTTTGCCTCTTTATGTCAAAATGACAAAAAAAGGTTAGAAAGATCTAAGGGCTAATTTAGAGTTTTTTTCTGTCAAAGAAATTGGGTGGACGAAATTCACTGTCCACGACCGTACTATATATTGTATTTTGAGAGGATCATCAACAGTCATCTTTGTTAGCATTTTAGCAACTTCACAATACTTTAAAATGTGCTGGATTGCTATTAGTTGTAAACTATACTGAAAATCTGAAAACTGTGAATAAACAATGAGGTATAAATCGCCAATACTCACCTTGGTTTTCTTATTCATCATTCTTGACTAGTCATCGCAGTAATTATTCACAAATTTTAGCAAACTCTACAAAGAAATTTAAGTTTCTATTCTAGTGGGATAAGATTGATTCAAAATTAAATAAAATTCAACGAATTAGAGTTGGCATTGTCTGTCAAGTTTTGAGTTGTATTACTGGCTTCAATTTGTCACTGACAAGTGACAGTTGTGCAGTAATACCACCTCTACAATTGATCCAACAGCCAACTCTGCTTCGTTTTATTTCTGATTGTGTGGAAAGTTCAAATGCCACGTCACTCATTTTAAGCAAGAATATAAAACTCGCGATTCAAAATAATAATTCACAATTTTTGTAGATATCCACTTGAATCCTAATTTATGAGGTTCGTTAATAATCTGTTTTCAGTTTTATAGTAGCAATCAGTCAAGTTAAAACGTTTCAAGATACGAGTTTAGAAATTGAAAACTGCTTGCTAAGATAGGAGTAATTAAAACTCGAATAAAATAATTTAGTTCTTTATTACATTAAATTTAAAATTACATGGCCACAAAACATATAAGTAACTATTAAGTATGCTAAAACTAGTCTAGTCACTTTCTGAATAATGATGAAATAACCATATCTAATTTATAGAAAAAAAGATATACAATTAATAACGTATGTTATTTTATGAAACAGGTTTCTGAAAAATAATCTAATTAAGTATTAAACTATATGCACATCAAACACGCTTTTTATCAATTTTACATTCGCATATAATACTAAGTTTTTAAAAACTACTACAGGGAAAAAGTAAATTCATAAGTTACAAGAGAAAGGTTTTTTGTATTCTAGACTGTACACATTAAGCTGTCAGAAGCCTCTTTTATAATGAAAATTGTCGCGCAATATTAAAAAAATGTACGCAACAACTTTTGTACAAATTCTATGATTTGTATGATTTTTCTTGTGTTATCTACAAATTGTTCATCAAGCTTTCGATAAAAGTTTTAAAAAACTGGTTGAAACGTGATTTTAGAAAGCTTTCGGTCAAAATTACGTTTCAAACGTGAATACTTTGTATTTCTGTCTTGACAACAATTAGGTTTGCCGCTTTGCCACCCATGTTTTTTAAATTTAAAGTAATACGTACTTCTTTTAAACCGTCTTCACGAAACACGACTTTGCACCAAACTTATACACACTCTTGTTAAAAAAGAAAGATATACAAGTATTCAGACATTTCTTCAATTGTGCTGGCCAAACTGATATGTACAGAAAAGTATCATATTCGCGTTTGCGACGAACTGACTTGTTTTCTCTACATATGCAAGAGTCTGGGCTTTGATTTGAACTGAAGAGGGCGTGAGTCGAAAGCTGTAGGTAATTGGTAATAAAAAGTAAAAAGACTTTGTACAAAAAGCTTGTTGGTTGAACATGCACTTTTTTATATTCTAATTTTTTATAAGTATAGGTTGGAGGGTACCATACATCTAGCTACACTCTTCACACTGTAACGTCACACAGAAGCGAGTGTGGCTATACAGTGTACACTAAATGATTATACAATTATGTGTAAAACATGGACTGTCTGTCATATGCAAAAATTATTACTTATCTATTAATTTAGACTTTTTAAACTTTTTGTTGATTATTCTCAAAATATTTATCTGTTCATTTTTGCATATGTAGAATTATTATCAGTTGCTCAAGTCAGTTTAAGTACAAAACAACAAATCACTGGAATGATGTAAAAAAATAGCCTCAATAATTAAAATAACAAAACTCAACAACGCCGTCACATTGTTACCACTACGAGAAGTAAATAAAAAAAACTTTCGCAATATGGTTAAAATAATATCCATAACAATCTATATGATGTAGTTAAATTAAATAAACGTCCCATCAAGTGTCACTTTAGGATTACTCCTTGACTTCGAAATATTTGTAGGTGGGATTTTCGTACCCATTAATCTGCATATTTGCTACGTGTCTCTCCTCAGGAGTAGCAGCTTGATCCACTTCCACAAATCCTTGGCTTTGTGGGGATCGCGCTGATCTGCGCCTGGCCACGGCCACGCCCACAACAACGGCCGCCATTAAGGCCATACCGGCGAAGGCAAGAGTAAAGTAAACACTCTTGCCGTCCTTACCACCGTACACTTCTCGTCGAACCGAGTAAGTCTGCAACAATATCCACAATCAGAAACCGCAAAGACTTTAGCCACATGACTTACAGGTTCGCCATGACTTATGTCATGGGCCATTGCGTGGGCAACCCTAATTACATCCTGCTTGTGAACTACGGCAGCTACTTCTTCTACGGCTTGCTGGACGGCGGCATCATCGACTTCTCTATGACTGGTTGTAGTTACAGAATTGCTGACGATGTCGAATGCCGTGCTGGCGGGCGTCGAAGAAATAGTGGTCTGGAAAATACACACCCTTATTATAGATGGAGAAGTTTGATGTTTTCGTCTCGTAAAGAACTATACCAAAGTTCTGTAAGCAACTACCTCTTGATAATCGCCAGGAGTCACGTATACAAGAAATAAATTATTGTTGGTGACGTCATTTCCTCCAGTGATGCGTGATACCTTCAGAATATATAGGGAACCGGAATCGGTAGAAGGCGTCGATATATTGTTGTTCTTTATTTTTATGCATACAATTTAATAACATATTTTCTTGTGTGCGTCATTCGTACTACTATAAGAAAAGTAGGAACATATCTTCAAAATGCATAAGAATGTATTCATTCCAAAGATATCTACATAAACAATATTTTTCAATTCAGCGGGATTTTTTTTCAATAGAATAAAAAAACGACCTTTTCATGACTTGAAAATATTTGCATGAAAACCTTCATATTTTACGGACTCAGTGACATTTTTACAAGTAAGCATTTAAGAATTGGTATATATTTCAAATATCAAATGTATACCCAAAGAAACGAATATTTGGAATATTATAGCTTTCAGACATCGTGAAAAAACAATAATGGTTAGAATTCGATTTCAAAAAGAAAAATAAGAGAAAAGTATGTCAATTATTCATGCCATCAAGGAATTAGAAAAAGTTGTCAACGAATTCAATATGAAAGTGGGGTTAGCTATTGAGGCAAGCTTACAAAGCCTCCCCGGTAACCCGAACGATAAAGTAGGGTCAGAGAAGGAGTCAGGAATTTAACTAATCAGCTGTAAAGAATGCAATAAAAAATATATTGGGCAAAAAAGAGGGTCAATCATCACAAAGTTCAAAGAGTAGATGGATCATTTAAGATTTGGTATATCTGACAAATCAAGCGTTGTCCAACGATTTAAAATCACTATAGAACTGGTAGAACACTATTTAAATCAGTTCGTGAGATCAACAATCCGTTTTTGATTTTATTAACAAAATGAGTTGACTCATACATTTTTTTTTTAAATCTTTTACAAATACGTCTATATTTTTTACCAAGCTTTGTTCAAAAAAGTTTAGGACTATGAATTGTCAAAGTGTCACAATGTTGGCTTTAGTGGTGAAAAATTAATACGTATTTAAGAAATCTATAGTGGCAACAATGTAACGACGGTTATTGTAATTTAAAAAAATACTTTTATCAATATATTAGCGTATAGTACGACAAAAATTATCTGAAAGCTGGTACAGTCAAGAAAATTGTAAAAAATTGGGACTGACAATTCATAACCCTACTAACCAAACTTTATATAAAAAAATTGAAATGACGTCATTCATTTTCTACAGGGGCTTACCTAAATTTTGTAAATTTAAACTTATTTTCTGTTCAATTTTGGCCATAATTTCGCGTTTAAGAGATTTTTTTTTATATTAGTAAAAATAATCAAAGCATTTGTTTCTTAACACACCCACAAAAAACAGAGACAATGGTGCGTTTTTTACGATATTTCTCTGTCACATTTTATGGTTAATTGAACTCTTCAGGGGCTTAGAACATGAGAAAGGCTGCAGTTTGATTATAATACATCTATATTAATATAAGATTAAGTTTACTTTGTCTTATATTTTTTTCTTTTATAAGCAGGGAATAGCGCCCACCCACCCTGTTCTGTTATATTCTTTTGTAGAGTGAGAATGGGAACTAATAAATACTTAAAAAAAAAGCACTAATCGTAATTTTTTGTTATACTATTTGTTATAAGATTTATTTCTTATTTCAGAACAAACAAAAATGAGAGAGCAAGTGGGTGAGCGGGGCTAAATATAACTTTTTCCTACAGAGTCTTTTGTACGAAAACAATGGCCCCGCCCACCCACCCCCTCTTCATTCCTGTGATTACTCTTAATATTGTTCAATCATTTACCAACATCAGCCTTGTCTTATTAATATAATTTTATCACAAAAAAAGGAAATAATTCTTATGGGTACATTTTTTAAATTTCTGCTCAAATTAGCCATGACGCTTGCGTCAGCAGCGAAATTGAAACGTGATGGTTGACTAGAGCAGAAATTTAAAAAATCATCCTGCAATTCCAACTTGTAAAAATTTTATATAGTTAAAAACTAATTAATTATATTAAAAATTGAACTGACGCATGACGTCATTAATTTTCTACAGGAGCTTGCCTAAATTTTGTCACACTTGGGCAATAATCACTTTAACTTAATAAATTAATTGGTGGTATAGGGATATGGATACTACCCAAGTAAATTTAAACTTATTTTCTGTTCAGTTTTGGCCATAATTTCGCGTTGAAGAGATTTTTTATATTAGTAAAAATAATCAAAGCATTTCTTTCTTAACACAAAAAAACAGAGACAATGGTGCTTTTTTTTTACGATATTTCTGTCACATTTTTTGGTTGATTGAACTCTTCGGGGGCTTAGAACATGAAAAAGACTGCAGTTTGATTATAATACATTAATATATATTAATATAAGATTAAGTTTACTTTGTCTTGTATTTTTTACTTTTATAAGCAGGCAATAGCTACATCTATATTAATTTAGGATTAAGTTTACTTTTTCTTATATTTTTTTCTTTTATAAGCAGGGAATAGCCACGCCCACCCACCCTGTCCTGTTACGTTCTTTTGTGGAGTGAGAATCAGAACTAATAAAATCTAGACTGTTAAAAAAAGCACTAATCGTAATTTTTTTGTTATACTATTTGCTATAAGATTTATTTCTTATTTCAGAAGAAACAAAAATGAGAGAGCGGGTGGGTGGGCGGGGCTAAGTATAACTTTTTCCTACAGAGTCTTTTGTACAAAAGAAATAGCCCCGCCCACCCACCCCCTCTTCATTCCAATGATTACTCTTAATATTGTTCAATCATTTACCAAAATCAGCCTTGTCTTATTAATATAATTTTATCACAAAAAAGGAAACAATTCTTATGCGTACATTTTTTAAATTTCTGCTCAAGTTAGCCATGACGCTTGCATCAGCAGCGAAATTGAAACGTGATGGTTGACTAGAGCAGAAATTTAAAAAATCACCCTGCAATTCCAACTTGTAAAGTAACTACAACCATTTAATCTCCTAATGATACACTACGTTCAAGATCCGGACAACTATCCCAAATTAAATATAAACTTGAACAGAATGGATCTCCAAAAATTAACTTGTAAAAATTTTATAAAGTTAAAAACTCATTAATTATATTAAAAATTGAAATGACGTCTTTAATTTTCTACAGGAGTTTGCCTAAATTTTGTCACACTTGGGCAATAGTCGCTTTAATTTAATAAGTTAATTGGTGGTTTTGGGATATGGATACTACCCAAGTAAATTTAAACTTATTTTCTGTTCAGTTTTGGCCATAATTTCGCGTTTAAGAAATTTTTTTATATTAGTAAAAATAATCCAAGCATTTCTTTCTTAACACACAAAAAAAAAAAAACAGAGACAATGGTGCTTCTTTTTACGACATTTCTGTGTCACATTTTTTGGTTGACTGAACTCTTCAGGGGCTTAGAACATGAAAAAAGCAGCAGTTTGATGTACAATATATCTATATTAATATAAGATTAAGTTTAACTTTTTTTTATATTTTTTCTTTTATAAGCAAGCAATAGTCCCGCCCACGCACCCCCTTTTCACTCCACTTCACGCCTTATCTTAAGAAATATTAGCCCCGCCCACCCGCCCTTATTTTGTTCGAGGGTAAGTCATTTACCGAAGTTTGTTCTATCTTAGCAGGTACTAGCCCCGCCCACCCGGGCTGTTCTCATTATAACGATTTTATTTCTATTCACTATGAGATCCACCTTTCATTTGGACTAGATAAAATGAATCACTGAAATGAAGGCAGGGTGGGTGGGCGTGGTTAATCTTATATTCTTTTGTACAGTTAGAATGGAAACTAATAAAATGTAGGCTGTTAAAAAAAAGCACTAATTCTAATTTTTTGTTATACTATTTGCTATAAGATTTTTTCTTATTTCAGAAAAAAATGACAGAACGGGTGGGTGGGCGGGGCTAAGTTTAACTTTTTCCTACAGACTTTTGTAAGCAAGCAATAGCCCCGCCCACCCACCCCCTCTTCATTCCAGTGATTACTCTTAATATTGTTCAATAATTTACCAAAATCAGTCTTATTTTATTAATATTATTTTATCACAGAAAAAAGGAAAACATTGTTATGGGGACATTTTTTAAATTTATGCGCTAACTAGCCATGATGCTTGCGTCAGCAGTGAAATTAAAACGTGATGGTTGACTAGAACAGAAATTAAAAAATCATCCGGTAATTCCAGCTTGTAAAAATTTTTATAAGGTTAAATATTAATGCTATACATTCTTAAATGGTTACTAGGTTTTTCGCTTTCCGGGAAAGTGAAAACTGGTTTTCATTTTTCATTAGAATGTCTACGTGTTATCAACAGAAGTGATAATCAAGACGACTAGTTTAAATTTCCACCAATATTCATTCTTAGCTCCTCTTTTCATATTTGGTAAATATGTTTGCACCACTGTTATATTTTGCTTGTTAAAGTTGAGGCTAAACAATTTTATTTCGTGGCTGCTTCCATCCCGAATAAATCAATTTTCCGCAAGAAGCATTAAAGTCGGATAGCGGAAATGACGTCACAGAATCCTTTTTAGCTAATAGTAAGTTTATTCGAAGAACAATTAGCTTAACAGCATCTCTGAAAAAATTCGCGTATTCATGATTTAACTATGCGTTAACCCCTTGATGCCAGTTTACAAAATATAATCTTTGTGCTTCTATTCACGATGATTTAAATGACGTCACGTCTACCGTTACACAATCTTACCCTTTCCTCAGGCAGCGATTCATCTTCCATATCTTCATCGTCAAAGTTGCTGATCTTCTTTCCAAGTACGGCTTCCACTCTCTTTTTTTCCTCCCGAAGCTCCGAGCGTTCCTTCTTCCTCTGTTCCTTCCTTTCCTTCTCCTGTAACCGTTGCCTTTCGCGTTCGGCCTGTTTGTTGGTGACCTCTGACTTATATTTGTCCAAAATGGCCGCTTCGGCTTCGGTCGTCATAGCTAAAAGCGAACCCGGAGTCTCATCTTTTGATCTCAAAGCTTGAATATAATCGTCCATTAGCTGACCTATTTTTGTTGCCAATTCAGGGAATCGCTTTAACATCTGCATGCTTTGATTAACTGTGCGATCAATGTCAGTTAAACGTTCGAGGATGCGCGGCTGTTCACGAGCTGCTGCTTCCAAACTACTCGCTAACAAATGACGGTAGTGGTTGATGGCATGGGCACGGTCTTTATGGAGGGAGCGAAGCAATTTTTCGAGACATTTCTGGACGCGATGTGTCTGCAACAACAAAATAACAGATTTCAACAAGGAACAAATAAGCGAAAAGTTACTATATCAGCATTCGGGCGGAATTTTATTGTTACGGGCATGACCAACCGTCGTTCGAGTCTGCGAAGTTTTAAACTTCACGTTCGCGAGTTATTTGTTCGTTCTAGGCACCGCCACTGCATATCAATTATTAAATCGTCAATAAAAATACAAAGTTGGAGTTGTTGAATAAACGCTGCAAAATGAGGAACTTCCGGGGGAATATTATACGGTAAACTTTACGTCTATAGGCCGGGATGTGGGGCTTGAAATTCACACAAAAAGTTGGTCTTAACATTTGCCGGTGCGCGCCACCAAAAATTGTTCTTCTTGTTCGTCCAAATACGTCACAAAAATTATGTAATTAAGTTAAATATTTTTTAATTCCAAGAAATACTCACATTCAAGGGAACATCGTTGAGCGCCTGAGTGTAGCACGTCATTGCTTCCTTCTTCCTTTGGTTGATGTGCGCAAGAACCCTTTGTTGATGCATAGCGGCCAGTTGGTGTTTCTCAGCATCTCCTTCCTCTTCCAAAGCCTGTACTGTCTGCTGGAACCTCTGGGTCATCCTCTGCTTGAATTCGTCAGCTCCTCGGGGATCAGTTTGCCTCATATCCTGGTACCTTTCTTCCAAATCCGACCAGTCCTTCATCACCCTTGTCACCTTTTCCCTGTGAGTTTCTTCCAACCTTTCTTGCGCCTCCTTGTAACTTTGGTGTTCGTTTCGTGGGTCGAAGTGGGTGAAATATGGGTCTGGCGTTGGTACCGAGGTGGTTTTGGCGGTTGTAGTAGTAGTGGTCGTCGTCGTCGTCGAGGCTGGTGACTGTTTGCTCGCGGACGTGGTGCTGGAAGGTGTAGTGTCCCAATCCTGATCGGAATCGTCGTACTCGTCGTCATCGTCATCATCTTCATCATCAATATTTGGATCGTCGGACAATTCAGTATCGTCAGCTAAATCGTCGAGATCGTCTTTATCGTCGTCTTCGTCCGAGCCAACCGAATCGTCGTCGTCCATGTTGTCGAACATGTCTTGTCCCTTCTTAAGGATGGTCAAGTCGACTGGTTTTTTCGGTTTCAAGTTGTCTGCAAAAGGACGTTACATGATTAAAACAAACGACTTTTAATCGAGCTAAATTAAAATTTATAACGATATCATACATTTATTACCGGTTGGGGATTCAAACTTTTAGTTGCGGATAATGTTAAGCGTCCCTTGTGAATAACTGGAGCAGAACAACCACTCAATTTATCTTACGTGTTTGTGAAATTTGAATACGGTAATCATAATTTGTTGTGTAGCGACTTGCTTTTATAGTTAGAGGGAATCTGTACACGTGATGATATTGAACAGGATTTTATTACTTTGTGCCGAAATTTACTCTTTGTGCGGCTTGCTGAGAGTAGTGTGTATCAGACCCTCTTACTCTAATATTTTAAATTCAATTCGTTAAGCTGCTTTGTCTACCGTTCTCTGTAAAATGAATACGCTTCAATAAGATTTGTATCGGGAAGTAGTTGTGTAATATTCTAAACAGGATGTTAAAATCTCTGAAGAGCAAATAAGAACACTCAGATTCTGCTCAGTAATGATCTTAGTTCCACTGTTTTAGAATACGTTCATTGTTACTAAATGTAAAGGGGGATTTTCATGGAAATAAAGGCGCTGCTGTACTACAACCATAATAAAATAATCAGGAACATAGTGACTTGATTTACTATTGTTTATTATAAAATGTATACAAAAGGTCTCGCAGCTTTGATCTAGCGCCTTTCAATTTATTGCTAAATTGATGAATGATTATTTTTTTCATATAGACAATTTTATAATAACTAATTAATAAATTTTTCATCTTATTACTGTCACTGAGATAAACACCACTGGTGCAGAGATCAGAAAAGCATAGATTACAAATCCTTGTAGAACTCTGAAGGTAGGCAAACGGTGGACAGGGTCGGATTTGACTTATTATGTAATGAATTTAACTGAAGTGGCTATTAGGGACGCGTACAGTAACTAGTTTGTGTTTGTGTCTTAGTATTCAGTCGAGTAAATCTCTGACGACCAATTATTTTCCACAATACAACCCTGAAATTTACGCAGATTTCATAATGCCACGCATGGTCTGTGAAGATCTATACCGGGAAGATTGTTGGCCTAAATGCTACTAATGCAAAATTTCCAAATCTCAGTGGTCTTAATTAACCGTCTGCACCGAATATAATTGAAATTTTTTACCTTCCTCGTTAACCAGCTTGATTTTTTATTTCAAAATCTCATGAGATGAAAAAATCTGGATTAGTCTTTTCAATGAGTGCATTTAGTAAAAGTCCAAGCTTATCTTGTTACTCAACACTTTTTCCATTGTCCTATCAATAGATCAAAATATTGATGATTGATTTTTCTATTAGTTTAGTACAGAGTTTTTTCTACGATCCCGAATACGTTTTTTTAAATAAATTGCCATTATCCTTTCAACATGTGCGTCAGAACTGCCAGAAACCTACTTTATAATACACACATATACTTCACAGTAGGTATTGAATTTGTGGTACAATTCTAAAGTGCTCGGTCTCTATATACTTAGATTGCGCTTTGTTCTGTTTGCCGACATACTCAACCACGAGATTGTCAATTTGCACCTTAGTGGAAACAGTTAAATGAGAAGCTAATTTTGCAGAACAAAAATAAACGGTCTAAGCTCAGACCGAAGTTACGAAGCTTGGTTGTGTAATAAAATAACGTAATGTGAAAAGAAGTCAAGAAAACACTAAAATTTCGCAAAATAAAATATCCAGTTGAAAAACTCTACCAACGCACATTACACTAAACGCTAAAAGTTTAATACACATGACAGCAATTTATAAACGCCGCTTTAGTTTCCAGCAGCTTGAGTATAGTCATTTCATCGAAAAACTTTGCTTTCAAGATTGCAGAGTAAACCATCTCGATTATCTCTGTCCTGGCAGCAAATCTTTCGGAAATTTCTTGTTTATGTAGGAGAGGTGTGGTAATTTGCACCACAATAAAAAATATTCGGAACGAACTTGAAACGTAATCAACATTATGCAATATTTACAAGACTGTTGAAACGAATAAATGTTAACCGTTAAGAAGAACGTATGTAAGACATTAAAGAAATGCTCGCGCTGACGCCGAGCTACTTACTATTAATATTAATAGACAGGTAAGTTCATCCTGCCTCTCAAGTTAATTAAACTAGAGTCAATACGTTTTCATACTAAGTGGAACAGTTTCTAGTACGGCTAATCCAGAGTTTGTACCTAAAATGTAAATGTGTTCCTGACGAAACGCAACCGAACTTCTCCATTTCCCGACCCGCGTAAAATATTAACTCAGCAACAACGTTAAAAAAATAATCCCGGCAAGCTTCGTCCTTCCGGAAAATTAATTACAAGCACACAAAACAAACCAAAAGTGCACTGTGATGCCTTTACATCATAAATCGCTCTCGTTGTAGTCGCTTTTGGTAAAAGAGTAAATTGCAGCTTGTCAGTTTTAATGCATTATGGTCCTTAAACTTTCAAATTGCAGCCGTTATTCTCGAAAAACTCATTTCGTACTTGCTCTAAATAGAGTTATTAATTCTGTCTTGCACAGACATCCACAGCGAACGCTACCACGGTTTGTAATAACTTTTTTTCAAACTCGTAAAGGGAACACATCGAACTGAAATATAGGCACGCTCGATTGACTCGACCGCAATAATAAATTTTTAAATACGATCCAGGATCATTGTGGTGTTCTCGTCGAGTGAACTGAAAATCGAGTTCATTTGCGTTTTTTTAAATTTTATAATTGTGGGTTGCGATCCAGGTCAGTGAATCAGTGTTTCTAGTAAATTTCCGAAAGTAATTGCAAGAGTTCCAAAAATGCTAATAATATTGAGTAAATATGTTGTTGTATCACGATATGAAAATTATTTTGGTCGAATTTTAAATGCTTTAAATGTTAATTTCTAATACATTTTTCCTCGGTTATAAAAATCACAAAAATCAAACTCAACCAGAAGGACTACATTGATGTGTTGTGGTATTTATCTTTTTGAACAGTTATTGCAAATTTCTCTGGAAAAATTTATCATACTGGTATGTATTATGTTGAATATGCGGCACAACATTAATTTTAAACTTAATTTAGTATTAAATTTTGTCTTATAAATTTATAAAGTGCAAATATATTCCCTGTCAGAATTTTATTGCCACTTAATAATAAAGTAGGTATAGCGTGTATCGTGGATGCACCTCACATTCTGAATTTTGACTGGTTTGAATATTGATGAGCGCTGACTGTAGGATGTTTTCGTAACAAGAAAATACACCACCCAATCCTGATTTCTCGACTTAAATTTAAGCCAATAACTTTTCAGGCTAATTTATGAGCAGTTGCTAAGATGTATGTAATTAATTGTCGTAAATTTACTATAATAAAGTTTGATTATAAACATATATATTTTATTTCTATACGTGAACAAGTCACGAAAATTTACGAATAAGAAAGGGAAAACTAGAGTTGAGTGTTTTTAAAGTACAATTCAAAGCCGTTCCACATAGGGAACAATGTTTTAAGAATGTATTTTTTTAAGTATTACAGCCTAGAGTGACGTCACAGTTAACAATAATATAGTTGCGGGCTGTGTCGTCACGGGTGTTTTGTTGGTTGCGGGCGAGTGAGTGTATGTATTCCTGCTACAGGAGTTGTTTTTGTTATTTGACAGTACATGTCATTTTAGGGATTTTGGGGATTTTGAATTTTGGATGTTGGTAATTTCGTTTACGCATTACAATATATATTTTTGAGAAAAAACTCAACTACAGTGTTAGGTGCAGGATTCGAACCTGCGCTCGTTCTTAGACCTTTGTACCTGCTAAGATATGAGTGATTTTGGCAAATGAGATATCCTTGTTAAAATAAGACGGGGTCCCAAATTTAATCCAACTCAAAAACAGGTCAGGTCAAAAATTTCCAAAAATAGAACACCAAAGTCCCCCAAAATTGTTTTAAATAATTTACTTAAAACTAAATTAGCTACAAAAAATACTTCTGAATTTGTTTTATATTTAGAGGTTGGTAATTTTCTTTGGGTTTCAACAGACACATAAGTATAGATGTGTTTATTTATATATTTTTTTTAGCATAGTGAATAAATATTACATAGGGTTTAGTATTTTGAGCACAATCATGGTCCGGTTCGAACTCGTGATACGTCAACAGTAATAAAACCAAACTAAAGCATATAATCTGTATGAAGATGCAAAATTTACTCAAAGAAACTTTAGCAGTTCTAAAATTTTTGATAGTGTTAATATAAGAAATTGCTATGTCAATTATGTTCTTAAGTAATCGTGTTGCTCAGTAATGAAGAAAGTCAAAGATTGAATCTCACCTACACCCGCCCTGATCTCAATTGTGATGAGTTTTTCATTCGTTGTCAGACCGAGGGGCGGGGCGTAATTGCAAAATCAATATTTTCATTAAAAGAATAAAAAGATGGAATTTTTGGTTTCGTTTTTTTCTTTTCTTAAATTTTACAATTTTTCGATTTTTCAATGCCCCGATTTTATAATTTTTTGTTTTTCAATTTTTCATTTTTTTCGATATACACTTTCCGAGTTTTGATTTCTTTGATTTTGCAATTTTTCGACCTTGTAATTTTGGGGTTTTCTATTTTTCGATTTTTCAACTTTTACATTTTTTAATTTTTCGTTTCCTCAATTCTTGATTTGAAATTTTTCGAGTTTTCATTTTACATATGTAATGATAATTTTGAAAATGTTTCATTTTTTCAAATTCTCGATCTTTAATTTTTCGATTTTTCAACTTTTCGAATAACAACAATGCGTATATTAATAAAAAATGTTGAAATGTTAGCCCCGCCCATCCGCCTTATCTCAATTGTGATGATTTTTTTTATGATATCCTGAACCGGGGAACAGAGCTTAATTGTAAAATCCTTATTTTTCTACAAGAAATTGCTATGTCAAACATGTTCTTAAGTAATCGTGTTGTTCAGTAACGAAGAAAGGCAAAGATTAAGCTCCACCTATATCCGCCCTCATCTCAA